TGTTCTAGTTCTAAACAAGTCAGTTCCTTCTGCTCAGACTGTGTTAAAATAAAGCTCAGGTTAAGTCAGGCTTGAGTAACAGAGCTTCAGACACAGTAGTGCTTCAGTTAGCATCACATTTCCAGAGAATGTTGATAACAGCTGCAAAGTATCAACAGATCAAAATTCAGAAAGATACTTGTTATAAAACATGAAAAACATTACAGTTAGTCCTAACTACAGCAAAAATATTGCCCCAAAGTGAAAACAGAACTGGGATTTACAGTGTCTGAACTGTGAAGTTGTGTGTTTTGTAGGATTTCAGACCACAGTATTCTAAAAAAACCTGGCAGAATAAGCTGTATAGTGAATGGTTACTGGTTTGGAGGCAGACCAAGACCATTCAACAATAACAGTATTGGTGTAAGTCATAGTCACCATGGAATAAATACTTGAACGCAAATCACAAGTTTATCTTGGTAAACCATAAACCTAGTCTGGATTTGTTTTTCATTGCAATCTGATCATTTGGTCCTCAGGGATTTCAACTGTACTTTCAGAGCCAGACCAAACACTGATAAAACCACTTCTAAATGACACTGAAACAACAACACAGCCAAAGCAGAAACAAGACCACTATAGTAACTGCATGTAACCCAAAACTACAGACCAGCCCCCTGTGTCTTTTTCCTCCAGTAAAATGAATGGATCTGGTTGATAGTAGGGTTGTCTAAAGTATCAAAAACCAGATATTTTTAAAAAGTACAGTATTTCAGTATTTGTTAATGATTCTAAATATCTATGCTACACATCAAAAATATATAAAATTCTATGTTATTACCTCCGCCAAGGAGGTTATGTTTTTGCCCGCGTTTGTCTGTTTGTTTGTTTGTTTGTTTGTCTGTTAGCAACATAACTCAAAAAGTTATGGACCGATTTTGATGAAATTTTCAGGATTTGTTGGAACTGATTTCATTTTGGGGGTGATCTGGAAGAAATCCTGGATTCTAGATCACTTTGAAATTTTAGTTAACATTGTGGTAAATGGGACCAAAAATTTTGTTTCTCAATATCTCTGTTAATTATTGACCAAACCCCATGAAATTTCACTCAGGGATGGACAATGGGACCCTCTTTCATATTCCAAAGACTGATCCGGGTTTGGTCAGAGTTAGTTATTCTTTTTTCAGATCAAGACGAGAGTTTCGACTCACTTGAGAAACAAAATTTTTGGCCCCATTTACTGACAGTCAATGGTAAGACTCACAAATTTCAAAAGTGATCACAGACGAATCCAGGATTTCTTCCAGATCACCCCCAAAATGAAATCAGTTCTTCCTTTTCACATTTCCAACAAATCCTGAAAATTTCATCAAAATTGGTCCATAACTTTTTGAGTTATGTTGCTAACAGACAAACAAACAAACAAACAGACAAACGCCAGCAAAAACATAACCTCCTTGGCGAAGGTAATAACATAAAATATCGGACGACCAGATGAACCTCTTTGGAACATAAAATACTAATCAACACTAAAAAGTCACATTCTGCATAGAAACTGCTAACCCTGTCATTTAGATCTGTGCAAACATGTTCAGATCTGATTAGTTTGTCAGTTCATATTTCAGTCTTTTTTGTCAATTCTTCTAGACAACACGTATAAAATGTGAACTTTGAACAGAATTCTATTATTAAAACATAAATCACAAGTCTATTCCCAAATACATGTTGCAAATACATGTAGCAAAAAATGTAATTAGATAGTTTCCCCAAATTGTGCAGCTCCACTGGTTAATTTATGCTAGAAAACAGGAAACGCAGAGGCCAGTTTTGGAGTACTCACATACCTTATTACTGTTTGGTCCAATCACTTGTGAAAAAACGTGGAACCATGAAATACAAAGGACCCATTGAGCCATGGATTGTTTTGGGTCAGTGCACGTTTTCACTCATTAACATGTCATCCAATCAGAGAGACCTTCCTTGCACAAGCTCCAGTAACAGTGCAGTGTTTCAGATGATTTACTGGTACAGTGTTAAAATGTTTCATTCCATCATCTGGCCATAGAACAGTTGTAATGCATACCAAAGTGCACGATTTCGGAAAAAATATCAAATTACTATTTTTCTGACAAGCTTTGCGAATGTTCCTAGATTTGAGATTTATGATTTAATTGGATTATATTCAAGAATGCTTTGTAGAACTGGCAAATAGGCCTGTCTGCTACAGCTACAGGCTACAGCTCTACTCGGGTGTGACCAAAAATCGCTATTAAAGAGCCATTTTACGCTATTTTCTGATCCATGTTATAATGTTGTCACATCACAAACCTGGAGTTGTGTTTTACTTCTGCTTCATGACATCACAAGGTGGAATGGAGCATCCTGAACTTTGGAGATGCAGACAGACTAATCATAAAGGATTACTCAAACATGTGAATAAAACAAAACACAACTCCAGGTTTGTTTCTGAGGTAACAGCATTATAACAAGAGTCAGTTTAGCAGAATATGGGCCCTTTACATTTGGCTGCGAATTGGGAACTTTCAACAATCAAAACATCCTCAGAACAGTGCATTTAGTGAAACCCGGAGTTCACTGAACAGCAAATAAGACATGTGATTTCTGTGACTTTGAACATGTTTCCTGGAGCTTGACAGGCTGGTTAAGTTTTTAAAACCGCAATATCTAGAACAGTCTGAGAAGTATGCATGTTTCACTTTTCAAAGATTAAATGAGCTGCACAAGGACAACAAGTTAAAGGTGCATTGTGCAACTTTTCTGGTGGAGGGTCCATCAAATGCTTGTCTTCATGGAGAACAGCACGGGACTGAACCTTTCTATCTTCATGGAGACCAAATCAGACCAAGTTACAGGTCAGATCTGTGGAGAGGCAACCCCGCTCACAGTCAGATTGCCTGTTTTTCTAGGTATTTTTGAGCTTTAAAACCACTTGTAATTTATTAAATGTATGGTAGAGCTGTTTAATGTCAATCTATGGAACAGTCGAGGCAGAGCAATGGCAAATGACGGACCCCCACCAAAAAGTTACATAGTGCACCTTTAGCATAGAAAAGCAACATTAACTCAAATGCCCTCATTAAAAAACATTATGATATTGACAGGTTGAATGTGTTAACAAACTGAACAGCTTTATGACACAGCTGTGACAAGGCCTGTTTCATCTTGCACCAGTGATATGCCAACCTAATAAACCCCACAGCGATCATGAACAAAACATGGCAAGTCCAGATATGTATTTACCTCACTCATGTGTTATCATTTATACATAACATTTCAATTATACAAGTTTTTATGCAAGGTACTGAAAGAAAAAAAAAAGAGATATTGCACAATGATCCATTATTCTGAAATATTAGACATAAAATAGAAAGAAAAAAAGTGAATTTTAATAAAGCTGACGTAAAGTTTCTGTGACTGTGAGAGCCATTGGCAGAATACATAATAAACATGTAATATACTGTATGTTTGACAAGAACAGCCGAAGACATATGTGCAAAGAGATCCCTGAGGTGCTGTGATTTTACATCTTAGAACATCTAAATTCTAGTCATGCTTATAGTTAGAGAAGTGATGGTTTGATGTTTGCATAAGGTAAGACTGAATAACTGGTTGTGCATATATATTATTTTCTGATCTATGTTATAATGTTGTTGTGTTTTGCTTTATTCAGACATGTTTAACGCATGGACCCTGCATGTTTAGGCCGAGTTCTTCCCTCAAACAGAAAACACTGTGTTCCACTTTGGGATGGCATGTGGCAATACAGGAAGTGCTCCACTGTGTTTTTCAACTTCATACGCGTTTACTGGAATCATTTGGATAATTTCCGACTTGGAATTGCCAATCTCCACTGAACAAACGTTTTAAGATAGATGAAAATGATTGCTTTATGACATCACAAGTATTTTAAGTTATGAGAATGCAGGCGTCTTAATAATACAGGCTTACTTAAGTATGTGTGAATGAAACAAAACATAACTCCTGGTATGTTATTGAAGAGGTGAAATATGGCTTAAGAGTCTTTGTGGGTAATATAGGAGCTTTAACATAAGATAGATGAGTTAAAGGGCATATCTAGTAACGTGCTCCATTCAGGGTCAGTCACTATCACATATCTGTCTGTGGATGATTTCTTTGGACACGTGCTGCTCTAAACATAAGCCGCTTCTCCACATTGTGCTTTGGGATGAATGGGCAATCAATATAATCCACTTAACAGAGGCTACTGGACACAGCTTACTTCAAGGTTAAACATCCAGGCGTATTTAAATGCAATTGAGCTGTCTATTCATTATGATGTACAAGTGCTTTCTATTAGAGTATTAATACACGAGATGAGATGTGAAATGTGCGCTGGAAAACATCCTCCATCAGTCTGATACGGGAAGCAGGTTGGCCCCCGCGCGCCCTTGCACTGAACGAGCGCGGATGCTGGGGAAGCGACCACAACAATGCAACGTGGAAAAGTGGATATGCCGCACATTACGGTTATTGTCTAATTTATGGGTTTTGCGGCGATTACAGGAACAAGGTGGGATATTTACTCTGACCTATATTGTCTGCTTTCCTTTGACGCACAACGGACGCTACATGTTTGAGCAAAAAGTCTCAAAGGAGCTTTAATGGATAGACGGTAATAGAGTGATTTCTCTATTACTTTGAAGTGTCTATAAGTGCACATCCTGTTTTGAGTCCAGTTTCCCCGTAGGATTTGTATAGGGATGTCAGATAAAAGAGGAAAATGACAGTGGGTTATTACGGTAAATTGTTTTAGTTGCTCCTCGGGAATAGATTTTGAGATGGTGCGAGCAACCAAATGAGATTGTATAGGAGTTTTGTGGATGAAAGAGAGATTGTGTTCCTGTTTATTCATATTAACAACGATTAAATATAGTTTTACGCACAGAATTGTTGGAAAAAGGCAGTGGATTATTAAGAGAATCACAAATATGTAGTTTTTTTTTGGCTTATACAGACATAAACAAAGGGTCTCTCACCTGAAGCTGCAAGTCCAAACAGGACAAAATAGAGCCCGCTGGCGCACATTGGAAGGATGAAAAAGAAGACACGAATGCCAATAGTCTTTGAGTGTCAACAAACTCCTCCGTGGATCCCCCCAGTTTCCAAACGAGAAACTGATGTTTTTTTCGTCTTTACGCGTGGCAAAAATGTATAATATCTAACAGAAAAATCCCTCTCTTCACCTTGACTCCTTCAGTTTCCAAAGACACGTCCCAACTCGCCACTGCCAAACTGTTCAGAAACCCTCCCACCACTTTTTGCGGGCGGAGTAAAAATGTACAGTGTCTGCTTGTGCTGAGAGAGTCCTCATCTGTGCCACATGTTCCGATAGGGAAGGTGACTTTAGTCTTAACTATTCATCTTGGCACTGATTTAAGCGCTCGTCTAACCTGTCCTGCACCTCGCGCACATGCATGAGCCGGCGCCGTGTCTCAACAGCGACGTGACGCATGATGTCGTATGTCGTCATGGAAATTACGGAATAAAATAAAGAAGTGCAGATAAGTGTTAACAAAGGAGGGATAGGCTAGGATAGGGAAATGAAATAACTGAATTAACGGTAGTTATGATCGATTTAGTAACAGCTTTGGCCATTCATGGTACGAAAATGGTTAGAACCATTCTTTATTTTTCAGCTTTAAAGGTGCACTGCGTAACCTTTTAGGTTGATGGTCCGCTACCATGGAGATGTTATTGCTGTAATGTTCCACAGTAGGGTATTAAACCTATGTAAAATGCATTTATTCGATTATGGCTGTTTTTATTGCTTAAAATAGCTTTAAAACTTGCCGTCTTACTGTGAGTGGGGGTTACTGCTTCAAAGATCTTGGCCTGGTGGCGCCTCTTTCTTGTTTCTATGGAGATTGAAAAGTTTAATGTCATACTTTGAAATATTGGCGGTAAAGCAACAACATCTTCATAAAGACAAGTAACTGGAGGGCCCTCTAATTGAAAAGTTTCCCAGTGCACATAAATTAGAGAATGACAGGTTATACGTTTTAGATGATGGAGTTTGTATTTATAACTATGCAACCACTAGGGGTCCCTCTCTTCAATCATTTACAAGCGCGCAAAGTGAAAGGATTTGGTGGCAAAGTGTGGCAGTAAAAAAGGCACCCAGACATACCGGAAAATATGTTGATCAGTCAATTGCTAAACTCATACTCATAAAAGGAAGCACAGATTTTAGCAGCTCATTTTAACAGTTTCTAAAAAAGCACTCATTTAGTTCCAAGGAGGAAGGAAGCAAACTACAACATTGCCTAACTTAAAAGTGCACTATGTAACTTTTTGGATATGTCATCACTGCTCTGTCTGGAATGAATTTTATAGCTCAAAAAACAGGCATTTTGACTGAGCAGTGTTGCCTCTCCACAGATCTGACCTGTAATTTGGTCTGGTTTGGTCTCCATGAAGATAGAAAGGTTTAATACCATACTGTGAAACATCCCAGACAAAACAAAAAGATCGCCAAGAAGACAAGCATTTGACGTGCCCTTCACCAGAAACGTTACTTAACACTTATCCAAAACAGTAGAGTATGACTTCACAAATTTAATTGATCGGTCTAGTCATTTATTAATACTTTATTAGCTATGATTCGATTTGGTAGGAGGGTTCAAAAAGCCTTAAGCATGTTGTTACTGGCTATAACCACCAGAGGGCAGAAAAGTGCTTTAATGAATAAAACCTTCACACTGTATTTTGAACATGATTAAAATAAGTTACTTTGTACAAGGAATTTGCTCTGTTACTTTCATGTATAGTCTGCACATCAATTTATAAAACTATAAATAGCGTAATATTTATTAAAAATACTACAGTAGCTTATAGGAGGAGACCCAGCAGACAGAATTAAGCCACTTTAATAGTAAATGGAAGCATATAATCGCATAATTTCTCAACTGATTTCTACCTTTCATTAACTTAGCCTGTACAAAACATTGTTAGTCCATTTTCTAATTAGAAGATGTTCAATGTCAATATATTAACTTCTATAAAATCAAACATTGCATGCATAGTCTTTGGCGTATGTAGGTTTCAAAAGTCTGCCTTCATTTTGAGGTGAATTCAAAATGAGAGCCCTCACTTCCTGTGTGTGGTACACCATGTTGTGAGTGTCACACACAAAGACATACAGACACAAGACTGAGACCAAACTCTCAACCTGCCTATTTCGAATTTAACTTTACTCTGAAACCTTTGGTAAAATAGTGCAGATAATTGAACATGATCTCCCGGACCGTCCTTGCTGTTGTCCTGCTCGTCATAGCAACAGTGGAAGCAAAAAAAGGTAAACCTCTATAAAAAAAACAAAAAAACATCTATTGTTACTATTTATACAGTCATGAATTTATTGCATTTGTTTACATTAATGGCATTTGTAGACTGCTATAGAGACATGTCAAACTACTCACTGTTATTTTAATTTTGACTTCAGTACATCTACATCCAACTGGTTATCTGTGAATACCGTGCCAACTTTACCTAACTATTCTACAGATGTAGAGATAATCAGTTAATGTATCATTGTAATGATTCAAGTTGATCTAAACCAAACTGTAAAATAATAATTGTACAGTGTAAGAAAAAATAGGTAAGTTCAATTTTAATCTATTCTAAAAAAAAAAAAAAAGTCAAACTATGGACTCAACTATCTGACTCAGCACATTAGTGAAATAAGATATAAATCAGTAGTTTGATTTCTTAAAGTTGATAGAAGAATGGTTATCTGTACATAGAGACTGTATTTTGGTCTATGGTCAATAAAGATGTCTTATCACAATAATCCTACACAAAATGTATATTGTGACATCCCTAATTCCATTCTACATGTTTAAAAGTTGGTAACAGAGTTTTTATTTAGGGCCATTATGTGTTGCCTTTTGCATATTAAACCACAATGAGTAGTGTTGAGTTGTCCATCAGTGTGTCAGGAGCCATGTTTAAACATTTCAAACACGTACACATCTTTTATGTCTTTTTATGGACTTCTGGGTTTCTTTTATTGATATGGCAACTTTACCACTTTACCACTGCATAAACTCACAATGTTCCATATTCTCAATTATCGTCTGTATTATTATTGTGTTTTAAGGTGATGTAACCTTCTGGATGGACAAAATTAAGCTGACATGTCCTGGGAATGGAGAATGGTTTGATGGCAGTCATAAAAGTATGAACAGAACTGATACCACACTTGAACAAAATTTCATTGGTCCCAAGGAACAATACCACTGTCTACATGACTCAGAGTCCTACTACTTCTATATCATTGGAAAAGGTGAGTAACTCTTGTGGGTTACTGATGGTGATCCTGTATTTAATAGTAATAAATGTTTCCTTTCTTATAGCCTGTACATACTGTTTCGAGTTGGATGCCGTTGTTTTAGCCGTAGTCATTGTTACGGATGTGATTGTAACAGGTATAGTCATGATAATGGTCTACAAATGCACCAAGAAGAAAACTGCAGGACCACAACATGCACCTAAAGGTAAGCACTGGAGCATACTATCACCATTATAATTATATAATTATTATTCAAATGTGTGTGCACGTCTCTTTGATATTCTTGTTCTAAAGATATACAGTATTTGTCTGACCTTATTTTTTCCACAGCTGGCCGTACAAGACTCGAAAACATACCCCTCAGTGATCATAGTTCTCCTTATGCTGTAAGTATTTGCATAATTTTCAATTGGTGGGGTCTATTATAGTGACGATACAAAGGAAAATTCCACATACTGTATATTAGTGACATATAACCCAAGTTATAGCCACATACAGAAAAATCTTCATGTTGACACTTTTGACGAGTTCATGTTTTTTGAGTTTTTGAGTCTTGAATAAAAAAATTAGCATTTTGTTTTATTGTAAATTAATTTCCTGGGTTCTTTTTAAAGACAGTAAAGTAAATACACCTCCAACTGAATGAACCCAAGAAGTTAATGTAGTTCTTTTGCTTCAGGGAGGGCATCCAGTGTAAAACCTCAGTTTGTGTTCATTGTTGTTTGTATTCACAGCCTCTGAGCCACCACACTCGCTCCAATGACACCTATTCTCATATCCAGCCATCCATTAGCAAGACAGGATAGAGACAGGACCACTGCCTAGGACAATTTAACAACATCTAATGAACTGAAGAGGATCTCAGCGGTCGTGGTCATTGGAGTCCTGCATGTACTGAACACAGACAGGGACACTTTGCAAGTCTGAAAATATCTGGGCTGGGAGTTTTGGTGGACCTTTTGTAAACACAGTGATGTCTGTTAGTATGGACAGTAAGACAAGGAGAGCAAGGATTGGAGAAACACAGCTTTTTGAAATTTGGAAATTATTGGCAAGTTTGCTTGTGATATTTACTTCTCAAAAGACAAATACAAGCTCTGTAATAAAACTGACACCCTAAATCAGGAACACTCTAGAAATGATTATCAGATACAGATACAGATACAATACAGTAATTCATCTTTATTGTATTATTGATACTTTTTGATACTTTGCCGTGACGTCACACTGTGGGTGTGCTATATGTATCTCTATAGACAAAACATTCAGCAGTTACCATGGTAACACAATGCACACAAAAATGTTTTAAGTCTGAAAACTCAACAAAAAAACATAAAACGGATTTTTTAAAAAATTTTCAGGAGCCTGTGATACAAGTGTACAATACAAGTGTTCATGGTCCTGCTTAGGTGTTTGGTTTTCTGTTTTTTTTTTTTGGTTTTGGTTGAAAAACTGTAGGCTAATGCTAGCTAGCCTGAGACCAAAATTTTATTTTTGAGAAACTTGTTTAACAGCACAAATCAGTTCACTTGTTGCCGTTCCAGCTGGTTCTTTATGGTCAGATTGTGATAAAACAAAGTTTAGAAATTAGATTAAAATCAGATTTATGTAACAGAGCTTCAGACAGAGCAGTGCCCACAGATAGCACCACACCCAGGGGCGGACTGGCAATCTGTGCGTTCCGGAAAAGTCCAGAATAGCCATTTGACCATGGGCCGATTGGGGCTGCCGTAACACGCCCCCACTCCTCAATTTTTTTCCGTGAGCCGATTTTTCAGGGAAAGGTCCAGGGCCGTTTTTTGGTCCCAGTCCGGCCCTGACCACAGCACCAGGGAGTGCTGATGACATCAGCTGCAAAGTATCAATAGTGTCTTCTTATATGTGTACATATGTAAAGGGTCACTGAATGTCTAATGCCTGTGTATATATTGGATTAGACTCTTATGTTATATTAAAAGCAGTGTTGTTGTTTTTTTGTACATCTCATTTTCCCTGATGTGGTAACTATTATTACCCACTGTTTCTCTGAGCACAGACATATTCAAATGTACAAGAGTTTATGAGTTTATTTGATTCATTTAGGTCTAATATCAACTAGCATGCCACATTGTAACACTGCTTCTTGATTCCCTGTTCTGTCTTGATGTCATTGTAAATAATAAAACGCTTTTTACAACTTTTGTGTGCATTTATTTGTATTATTTACTCAGCACCTTGATAATCTGCTATTAATTGCATTACATCCGACAAAGACCATCATTTTGGTAAAAGGAAACAGAGCCGAGAGGTGCCAGATGCACATATAGATTAAAACCACGCGATTGTTCGAAGCCTCAGATCATTTCCGTAACTTCACTTTGTCTTTTGTCAACTGTGAAAATGCCTCTTTCTGTCGTCTGTAAGTCTATGACTGAAAAGTGGTGGAACATCTGATATCTTACCAAGCACATCTCAATGGAAAAGTGATAAAAACCCAAGTCAGACACAGTTTCCTAGAAGTGAACAGCTTTGTAAATATTCTACAGTGGAAATAAGTGTCAAAATTAGACAAACTTTTGTTCAATGAGGGAAATGACTTTGACCCTGTATGTTTGTAAACACAGCACTTTGAAGAGTAATAAAAATAGATTATAACATTTAAATATTTGCCTATATAATATAAAAGTATGAATGCTATTTTTGGGAAACATGCACGTGTTTGGTGCAGACATGTTCACCCAAGAGGTCCTTTGTTTAAAGGGTCCATACATTGCTATTCTGATAGCATAATCCTATTTCCTCATCAAAAAATATATTTGTGCTTTTCTTTTATTTATTTTTTTTATTTTTTTAATCATTTTAGCACATTTTTTGTTTAGTTTGAACATTTGATTCAAACATGTATCTGAACAGCAGCAGTCACATCATTTGGAATATTTGTCATTGGTTCACACAGTCCTCAGGTTCTTTCTCAGAAGACTGGACACAGCTCTTATTCACAAACACACATGATCAGCGAATTCTCCTTGTTTTCTCAACACTTCTGTTCTTACATAGTAAAGGACTTTGGCCCAAACTCTCTCACTTTCAATATAGAAACTCAAACAGAACAGCAAATCAAAATTTGTGAGCACCAAAAATCGAACAGCAAAGGATTTGACACATGAGTCAAACAGGGAGAAGGGTCTCAGCCTTGAGTACAGACACTGAGTACATGTATAGACTACATACAGACTTTCAGAACCGTACAGTCCTTATTGGATTTTCAAGAACACATTTCATATCACAGAACAAATTAGTGTTGATGTATTTTCTTGTATAAATAGTTTTGATCAAATACTGCAAAATCTACTCTGCAATTGATAATGTACTTTTATATTTTACATAAAACAGTACAGACAGGTTACAGGGGGGAAAAGCAAAGCTTTTCCAGTCCAAAATTCATCTGTGTAAAGATGGAACCCCAGTGGCAAACTGCACCAAATCAGTCATTCTCTATGGTCTTTAAGAGAAGGACTAAAACTTCTGAGCTGCAATGTTAAATTAATGAAAAAACACATGACGACAGTTTGAGAATTTTGAAGGTAAAACTTGCTTTTGGAGAATGATTGAACTGTTTTAACGAAAAACTGCATTTTGCTTTAATTTTGATTTAATTTTGTTTAGGAAAACTAAAATTCTGGTTAGGATTTTGTGTGAGCTGTTTTGCAAATGTCAGTTTTCAGTATGTAACAGTGCCAAAGCGACTTGAGAAAAACTGTAAACACCATACACCTTCACTAGAATACAGTTTTTCTCAATTGTTTAAGCACATTTACACTAGTTTAATTTGATCATTTGATTCAAACATGTATCTGAACAGCAGCACAGCTGGTCATATCATTGGAAACATTTCTCATCAGTTCACACAGTTTTAAGGCTTTTTCTCAGAACACTTGACACAGTTCTCATTCACACACACATATGATCAATAAATTGAGCTTGTATTTTTTAATACTATTGGTCTGTTCTAAACTGTCATTTTCAATATAGAAACACGGCAAATCAACATTTGTGAGCACCAAAAATCAAACAGGAAAGGATTTCACACGTGTGTCAAAAAGGGAGAAGGGTCTCAGCACTGTACACACACTGAGTACAGACACTGAGTACATATAAGTACATGTACTTTCAGATACATACAGTTCTGACAGTTTGATTTTCAAGAACACATTACATCTTACAGTACAAAAGTAGTATTGATGTAAATGCAATTCTTATACATTTTTCAGTTTTCCACTACAAAACAAAAAAAAAAAAAAAAAAATTTGATCAAACACTGCAAAAATCTACTTTGCAATTGGTAATGTACTTTTATATTTTACATGATACAATACACACAGATTTTAGACAAAAGAGCAAAGCTTTTCCAGTCCAAAATTCAAAGTGTGTAACGTGTGAACCCCAGAGTCAGACTGCACCAAACCAGTGATTGTCTGTAGTCACTGAGAGTTTCTGAGCTGCTCTGTCAAATGACAGAAAAACACATGACAAGAGTTTGAACATTTTCATGGTAAAATGTGCTTTTGGGAGATGATCGATCAGTTTTGAATGAAAAACGGTATTTTTTCTGAGATTAAATTTTGTTTAGGAAACTCAAATTCTGTTTTACAAATGTCAATTTTCAATTGATAAAAAAGTGGTGAAAATACTTTAATTTGGATGCTTTTTTATTAATTTTTTTAATTTTTAATTTTTATTTATTTATTTTATTTTATTTTTATTTTTTTTTTAGCTTTGGGGATGTAGACAGACTAATAATAAATGCTTACTCCACATAACACAAAACACAGTTTTTAAGCCTTTTAGATATTATATATATATATATATTTGAGTTGGTGCATTAATCAAATCACAAACGCTGCAGTCATTTAGATAATAGAATGTCCTCTGCAACAAAACAAAAACAAAAAAACAAATACTTTATTTAAAAAACTGGTTGTATGTGTAGTTGAGATCTCTATAAACATGTTCTGAAATGCATGGGATTCTTGTGTTACTTTATCAGTTCATACTTCAGTGTTTCAAATTGTTCACTATGTGCACCCTCGTTTTTAAACCTACTTTTCAAACATCACAAATTACTTTTCAGAATAATCGCAATTAAGTTTGTTTCATACCAAAATCATGGAGCCCTAAAGATGATCCTCTTAAGACTACCTCTGCAACAACTAACCCACACCACACAGCTACCTGCCCAACCCCTCCCCCCCTTTAATTCCAACCACAGCATCTTTCAACCACTTATTTCCTCCAGCTTTGGTAGTCCTGACTGAAGATCTGGAGAGGGGTTTCTCTAAGCTGCTCTGCGGTCATCCACTTCTACTCTAACCCCTCAAATGAACAGGACAAATATTCTGTGTATCAAACAATATATGCTATCATTTAAAGGTCCTATATTATGCAAAATTGACTCTTGTGATCTTTTAGCCATGTTCTAATGTTGTTACCTCATTGAAAACATACCTGGAGCTGTGTTTTATTCATGCACAAAATCCTGCATTATAAGTGTCTACATCTCCAAAGCTCAAAATGCTCTGTTTCTCCTTGTGTTTTTATGTGTGATAGTTTTCAGATTAACAGCTACTTTATTCCAGCAAAGGTTTATGGAGTCTAAAAACACAGTGGAGCATGTTCTGTATGATGACACGACATCACAAGGCGTTTTTTGTTTGAGAGAAGAAGCTTAAATATGCAGGATTTGTGCGCTAAACGCTAAACATGTGTGAATAAAACAAAGCACAACTCCAGGTCTGTTTTTGATGATACAACATTAGAACATATTAAATCAGAAAATGGCATAATATAGGCCCTTTAAACCTCCCCCGCAATGCAGATCCATAAAAGACAAACTTAAATGCATGTGCAGTTTTATGTTTATGAATATAAGAATGGGAGAATGCATGGATGTTTTTTAGTTTTTTGTTAACCTGCCCACAGATTGCACATGGAATCTACATTTAGTTAATTTGGTGTAAAGTGTCTCTTGTATATGGTTTGTGTTAATAAACCAATTCAGGTGTGGTATCTCAGTCAGATCTATGTCGAATGCAACATTTTAAAAGATCACGTTAATCGTCCAATAGTACGTGGCTGTAAATTTCAGTGTGGCCCTCTTTGAAAAACGTTTGGACACCCCTGCACTAAGCTAAACTAAACAAGTTTTCTATGAGTTCAGGCTACAGTGGTGCAATGTGTGCCCTGGTCTAACAACAACTCACTATGATTTCATCTGTATGATCATAATGTTATTAGTTTATTAGTGTAACAAAATCTGTTTTGCAATAGCAATCTATGGACTATTTATTGTTTATCGTTGTTTTTATGTCAAGTTTTAGTTATAGTAATTTTTCACACATTGCCACCCACTCACTGCCTGTAGGTTTAATAAACTTCTGTCTTTACCATCAGTGACGCTCTCCCACGCTGTGAGCTGTAACATCTGCCTCACCGCACAGTGTCATTGTGTGGTTGTGTGTAGTGTTGTGTACTCATGGATGGTGTTCAGAGGTGTGTTTTAAAGTGAGTATTTTAAACAGTTTGAAGTTGCTTCTCAGTGTGAGATTTTGAACAGAGCCACGTTTGTTGTGATCAAAGTTTTGAAGTGTTTCCGCTGTCTCACAACAGACGAGAGTTTCCTTCTTTCAAATTGTGAATGTTTTGGTTCTATTTTGTAGCTGTTGTTTAACATTTGATTCATCTCCTACAGGTTTTGGTTGCCACTTGTTGCATGATCTTTTCTTAGCCCTGTTGCACAATGCTGAAATAACTACTAGGAAACTGTTCAGTAACATATTACACTGACATTTTATTGAAAACTGAAAAGGCATGGAAAATCCCCCACAACTCTTATACACAAGGTAGGAAGGACAACAAGTGCACCAAACTGTAATATTTTTAATAATACAGACCACATGGCAGCAGACTGGAAAATATATATTTCAAAGAGTAATTTATAGCACTATTACAAAGGAACAGAGGAAGAAATGGATAATCTGTGTTTAAAATATCTTAGCAACGTCTCAAGCTTGCCATTATAAAATGCAAAGCAAATCAATGCATGGCTTGTAACAGTAATTCATTTGTGTAATTCATTATAAATGTCTCGGTCGTTTTTTCTCAAGCGCTGCAAAAATAAACAAATAAGCATTAAATTAAATGTAAAATGAAAACTTAAAGAAGTCATTATTGTAGCTTCATACCTGATAAACACCGTCGCTTGTATCAGGTTGAACAAGGGGCTGTTTGTCAGAGGCTAAAAAATATTCAATAAAGTCACAATGACAAAAAAATCTAACTTTTATAATAATAATCACCACCATTCTCATCATAATCATTATAAAAATAATGAGAAAAGAAAATATAAAGGACGTGTAGGCCTGAGTTGGTTTAATAAGGATCATTGTCCAATTGTAGAGGAGAAACAGATAATCTGCACTCAGGATTTTAGTAGAAATACTAAAATAGTGATATAAAGAAGTGTATGACAGATCTTATACCTTTCTTGTTCATGGTGGTTGTGCCGATCTGGCCGTGTTTAGCAATGAGATAAACAGAAATGCCGATCACAAATGTCGCCAACACATTTCCAAAGATCAGCCCAGTGATAGACATAACATCCAGGTCCACACAGTTATCACAGGCTGCAAAGAAATGGGTCAAATAAATCAATACTAGAAAAGATGCAGTAGCTTAATACAAAAAGATGTGTTAAAGGGTCAACTTACAGCGAAATTTGATAAATATCTTTGTATCTGTACCGTCCTTCTTACACAAATACTCCCCAGTGTTGCTATCATGGATTTCTAACCCGTCTAATAGCACATCGTTTAAATGAAGTTTATAATCATTAGGACACATAACTTTTCCAGATTGTACTTTCATTTTAAACATCCCATTTCCTGTTGAAAACCAAAAATGAATGTCATACAGAATGCATTAAGATAACATTATAGAGTCTTGTGTCAAAATCAGTAAAAGTATTTTTGCTATGTGTACATTTTACTTATTGAAAATTAAATTGTCAAAATACATTTTCAAGATATTAACAATCACACATTTATTTCACAAAATGCTATGCACTTCACGCCTGCATGCATACAAGGACATTACAACAAAACCGCTTTGTTTTTATTCTAACTTAACACAATTAACTTAAATAAAGCATAGAACATAAGAAGTTTGTAAATTTCATGTTCAATATATGTTATGCTCAGTCTAAAATAATCCTAAAGTAAAAGCAGTGATAGAACTTGTCTTACCTGCACCACATTTGATCAACACTGTAAGAAATAAAAATAAGTTGTTCAATGTCAAACAGTAATTGATTCATTTTAAAAGATCATATTCAATGAAAAACATCAGTGCAAAATAATTTCTTACCAGAGAGAAAAAACAGCCACAAACACGTCCGGTGTAACTTGTTCATCGTGTTGAGCTTTCCGAAATTAACTTTATCCCAACAAAGGATAGTTGCAATTCCTGTATAATTATAAAAGATAATAGTTTAGAAATGCATGATGTTAATTAGTAGCAAAAATGTGAAATATTAGTTCTTACCTTAAAATGTTGCTCTTGAACAGATCTGTAGTTCCGGTGAGTGTGTGTCTGTACAGTTGTATGTTCATGTGGGATGTAACAGGAAATGGAGGCACGAGTCTAACACTGTGTAATTGACGTGTTGTATATTGTTGTTTACTGAGGATAGAGCAGCACTGAAACAAAGAAGTCAAAATATGTACTAAAGCAACGCATAGCTTATTAAAAATCTATAATGTCAAACTTAAAAATGACAGCTTTTGTATCACTGATGCTGGAATGATGTATTGTGAAAAACTATTATGAAATCTGAAATATACTGTGGCACATTATAAGCAAAGGATATATATAGAGAGAGCTCTCAGAAAATGAATGCATGTCTTTCAAGGTAGAACAATAAAAACACCTGTAATAGAATAAATGCAAAATCAATAAGCATAATGCAGTACTGTGGGACAATCCAGGAAAAGTAACAACATCTCCATGGAGACAAGCAGGTGGCCTTTATACCCACCACCAGCAAAGTTATAATGGACCTTTAAATACTCTGTTACATCACAAATAAATGAGAAATACCCAATTATAGTTGTGTTCTACTACTACTACTACAACTACAACTTCTATTACTACTACTACTAATACAAATACGAAATCTTTTGAATGGTTAACTGTCCTCAAAATGGCACCATATAGCAGGAACTTAAAACTCATGATAACCAGGAATGTATAATTTTCTTCTATGATAGAGATGTGATTAAAAGGTGCTCAAAACCATATAGCAGACATAAAAAGCAGTATAATTTAAGGCTTTTGGCCAAATGTAAACCTCTATGACAAAACTAATTTACAAACATGAAGTCATTTTCCCTTTTCCATTCGATCATCACATTTGTACCAAAAGTTGTGACAAACTCCTGACTACTTCCTGTGCAAAGACAAGCCACAGAAACCAATGACCCAGAGTCACACCTGCTCCGCCATAAACTCCACTGAAAAACATGCTTAAACTTCCCCTCGTTCTGCACCTGCTGCTCTCAAATCCCACTAAAAATGTTACACTATTCCACCTAAGTCAGTGTATTTTATAAGTCATGACTTTGTTTTTGACAGAAACCAGTACTGATGCTGTAAAGGATGTGCATGTTATCCACCTTTAGTCACGCGAGCTAATGCAGGCGTAAGAGCACCACCTGGAGGCAAATCGGGGAACTATTGTGTCATTTTGCACAATAGAAAAGGAATAAAGTTGTAAATAACAGTCAAACCAGAGACCATATGACTTGGGAACAGCAATTAATATTCTAATAATTGTAGGAGTATTCATCAGTTTCAGTTTCAAGCAACATTTTGAGGACTATTTTTCCATTTAAAAGACAAAATATTTAACTTTAAATTGTTAATCGCTATGGCAACAGTCAGAAAAGTGGTAAAAGCACTGATAGTAAAAGGTAGTATAAGGTATTAATGAACAGAATTTGATTTTACATTCTTGTACATTCACTTGTGCCTAAATGTGGATAGAGTGGCAAAAAAGTACTTATGTAAAAGTACTGGTTTTGTTAAAATTGAAGATCCTGTAATTGGAAGGACATGAAATGAAATACTGCACAGAAATGAGAAATCCTATTAGACCTAACACAAAAATTCCAATAATTTAATATTATCAACATAAAACGTCTGCTACTTATAGACTCTTATCTGGTCTTAAAACTATTCTGAGAAATACATGTACTACCCACCTCTTCAAGTAATTGTAATAATTTTGACCATCTATACTGCAACTACTTGATACATCTTTGTACATGCAGTTATTAAAGTAGTTATACTATTGTTTCGTGGTCATTTCAAGTATCAGAGTGGATTCACTGGACAAAATCTCAATAGAATCTTTATTAGATGCTTTAATACACATATACTGGACATGTGCATACAGTTAATGCTATACTTTTTCCACATACAAATACTTACAGCTTCATAATGCACCATTTGAAGACACTATAAGGTCAAATATCAAATCTCACAGAGCACACTTTTTTGGATATTCAGCTGTTAGCATAGAGCAAGGAGCGCATGCCGTTACTGGGGCATTATGGGTAAGAAGATACATACAAATGACAGACAATCAGTACGGTATGTATGTTTAAGTATGGCTTTTTTCATTTTGGTGCTTGAAACTTGCAGCAACACCAATTGTGAAAACAGGAGAAGAAATAGATCAATGTATGGCAAATGGAAAGAGACAAACAGGTTGTAAAATCCAACATATTTGAGAGCAAGTATATCTGCACAGGTTATGAAGTGGAATCCATGTCAGGGGTCATATTGTTCATTATTGTGAATCAGAAGTCCAGAGACAATCATTACAAGACAATTAGGTTGTGTTCACACAATAATATTCAGTATTCTTTGCACCTATTCAGGATTCTTATTAGGAGTGAGAATTAAAGGTCACTTTAGAGATGAAGCATTGTGTAACTTTTCTGGTCAAGGGTCCACCATTTGCTTGCCTGCATGAAAATGCTGCTTTGCTTGGAGTGTTCCACAGTATGGCATTAAAGTTATTTGTCTTGCATTTTTAATGGGTAACAGGTGTTTTTTAATATATATATATTTCAAATGGCACATTGTGAAACACTCCACGTAAAAATAGTATCTGTACAGAGACAACAACGTGGTGGGCCCTTCACCAGAAGTTACATAGTGCTCCTTTAAAGTAAAAAGTAAGAAGATTGGTAGGTAAACATATATAAAAATTTATAGCCCACCGTTAGCTGCCAAAAAGTGAAAAAGATAATATGAATTTATGCCACGCCTAGAAATATCTATAAGTTCTGTTAAAGTTTAATTTCTTTATTGTTAAGTGCAAACACAACCTAACCGCATTTAATTCTAAGACAAAACATTGTAAAGTTGATTTAGTGGTGCAGTACAAGTAGTACATCACTTAGCAGCATTGTAACTGACTTGTATGAGGACATTTTTGAACACCATACAATTGCAGTTAGTGAACTGCTGTATCCACAGATTACAAGTGTCCCAGTGTTACCTTTGTCTTGTTCTGAGCAGCTTAGAGGGACAGTGAGTGGTAGATTGGATTGGCAGTTCTGTGTAAGCCTCACCAGAGATGGCCTGTTGGTTAGTAATGGAGTTTCTCATGCACAATTTTCATTAGTTGAGTCTTTAATGTATTTTGTCAGAGCCAGATCTCCTCACTGCTTGTGCTGTTCACTTTGTAGATATAGCCAACCATTGGATATCGAGCAAAACCTGAGGCCAATGAAGTAAAATAATCAAAGAAAGTACTAGGAAAGTGCTAGAAAAACAATATGTATAATATATTTTGCTTACCTCTGGCAGCATAGGCTAGGGACAAATCTTCCTCCTCATCTAAACTGTGTTGTTTTGCAATGTCTCGAACTACAGTCGATAACATACAAAAAGGTTAACAAGATTTAAAAGTGCCTGTTGAAAGGTAACAAGTTCAAGTGGCTTAGTCCTGAAAGTCATAGTCAAAGTTAAGTCCACAGATAGATTATGGACCTGTTTACACGAGAACGCTTGCGGGTAAGAACGACAAAATATTTTATAAAAAGTGCCTTTCATTTAGATGGTGATGGAGTTTTTGGGGCTTAAAAACACAAAAATTTGAAACCACCGTCTAGAGTGGAAAAACTGAATACACTCTGCCATAGCATTTCCGTCTACAATGCCCAAGACGCAAATCTCTGGTCAGATCTGCTCACGTCGCGTACATGTTTATGTCACTTACATCACCTGGCGTCACCACCTAGCCGCCTGGCATGCATACTCAATCAAATTCCACACATTTTTGCATCACTGTATGCATGCAGATTTCCTCCTAAAAACTCTTGTGTAAATGCGGAATAAAAAGTAAAGATGTGATGCCATTTTGCGTCTTCTGTTCAGACCGTCATCATATAAATGTAGCCTGAGTTTCATCCTCCTGTTTTAGTCCTGAACTAGTCCAGGTTAAATCTTAATCTTGATTGTGAGTATGTGAGTGGAACTATGAACCTGGCCTCAATTTCCATTGAAATTTGGGTATTACATAAAATAAAGTATTTGAATTGGGTCTCAGGATGTCAGTTATGGTGCATGACCTTGCAGGGGAAAATAGTTAATTAAAACTAACTGATTACATTTGCTTTGGTAATTCCACTTTTTGAGTCGATTTTTTACTTGTACTTGAACTTGTAATTGTAACTGAGTATAACTCCACTATATACTCATCCAATGTAATTTGTTACATTTAAAATCATAGTTCATGACACAGTTCCAGTCCCAGTTGTAGTAACTATTATTTTGAAGAGCTTTTTTCAAATTTACTTTGTACACTGAGTACATTTTATTTTTTTATGTAAATGAATTTTTGCTTGAGTACAACTTTTCAGAACAATTTCCACCACTTTAAACTACTCACATTACACATCACATTAGATTTTGGGGGTAGGTGTACTTTTTTTGGTCAATTTTTTACTTATAAATGAGTATAATTCTAACCATATTATAAATCATGGAATAAAAAAAATCTTAAGAGTCTAATCTGGAGTACATTTCACCCATATACCTAAACCATTGGGAATTAGGCTCTACCTCCTGTACGGTAGTTTAGTACATGTTTGTGTTACCTCTTTTTAAAGTGCTGAGGTCGTTGAGCTGCATGTTCGAAGGTAAAGACATGTTTTCTCTCGGCATGTGGGGCTTCTCTGCTTTCTCCGTCTTCAAAGTGGTGGATTCACTGGCACAATACAATAAAAGGAAATCAAAGCTATAGACTACAACTAATTATGATATAAATACAGCATTTTTGTTCAGATAGTACCTCTTAGTGGCCATCACAATTTCCACAGGCTCCTCTGAAATGTTTATTTGTTCATATTCAGTAACTATAAAGGACAGGTGTTATGTCAAGTGTTATGAAGCTGACCTACCGATGGTTTTGCTCTTGTTCTTTTGCATGAGGCAGAGCACAATGAGGCTGAGGATGAGCAGGGCCATAAAGGCCATGGCTCCTCCGGTCACAATCCCCAACATTGGCACCTCCACCCGGGACTGCAGAAACTCTGAGGGCACAACAAGAACAGCGTAGTGAAAATACCTATATACAACAAGTTCAGTGCTTTTATTGTTTAATATTTGAATATACAGTAAATGTGCATGGAAATGGATGTAGTATAGTTATAACTGACCTGCCAGGGTGAGGTTGCTCTGTGCTGTTCCCAGGCTGTTGTCGGCGTTGAGGGACATGTTTCCTGATAGGCTGCTCAGAGCCACACGCAGGCTGTGATTGGTTAACCAGGGGTAGCTGTGGGAGTCCAGGATGAGGAAGTCCGAGGTGTTGGCGACCACATGACCCGTCTGGTCCATGAAACTGAGAGTGGCCGGAGGATTGGACCGGACCAGAGCGAACAGGACCAAAGAGAGTCCTGGGTCTGCGGTCTCACTGTACTGGGCTTTGACTTTGAGAATCTCCGGCTGGACTAGAGACAGAAAGGAGAGGAAATTAGTTCAAATTATAGTCACTAACAACGAACATGACTTATATTACATGCTTATTTGGGAGCTTCAGTAAATAAACACAAATTAACCATTTTACCAACCTGCATTCACAGCACTGACAATTTACTAATTATGCAATACTGATTTAAATAAGTACTGTGCAACTTTTCAGGTGGTGTGTCTGTCAACCAAGTCATAACACCTGACTGAGTTACAAATCATATATTTGGAGTGGTAGCCTGTTCAAAGCAAGGGAGCATGTCTTTCAAGGTGATTTAGTGCAATTAATACAGTAAAATAGTAAAAGCTTTTATTTCTGCAAAGGGTGCAGACTGTAGTGTAATTTTTTTGCATGGTTGGACATGTATAGCAGACAACCAATCGCACATATTTTGATTTTACAATTTTACAAAAATAACACAGACAGAAAGACTTACATTGTATATTTAACATGACTGTAGCGTTATAACTTTGCCCAGTTTTAGGATTTGAGGCGACACACACCAGCTCCCGGTCCCATCTCCGGACTTTTAAAGAGAAAGTGCTGTTGGGGGGTTGAGTGTTTGGTCTGTCTCTGAAATCGTCTCGGGGTGGCACCATGACTCTTTTGCCTCTTTTTGTTGGAGGTTTACTTTGCATTTGCTGCTGTTGTTCCCCGTTGAGGTACCAGGTGAGGAGGGGAGGGGCGCGGGGGTCCCAACTGTCTGTCTGACAGTTGAACCGGTGAGTCATGTTCTCCCTCAGGGTCAGAGAGGCGCGCTGACGTCCATCGATTTTGGGGCCAGACTCAACTGCACCTGGGAATTGGAAAATAATAGCATCTTATTCTTCTTATTCATCTTATTCTTTATTATTTTTGTATTTGCATTTATTTATTAAATGGACAATGCATATTAAAAGAATAGATAATGCAAAAGAAGAAAGATTTTTTAATATGTCTTTGTAATTCAGGTAGCTTAAAAGGTATTTACTTTGAAGTTACTTTGTATGTTACTCATGCTATTTTACCTATATGTGTTGTCATGATACTAAACTTTAAATCGATACTTAATACCAATTCCAATACCACAACAATAATAAGTAGAAAGTTATTTTTAACATTAAATAATAGTGCTTTCTTTTATATTACCATGTGGTCTTATATTTGTGTATTCCCTCAGTCATCCAAGTATGTGTAGTCTTATACTAGATAGACAGATTCAATAATTATGGTAAACTTATTCAGGAAAGGATCATTTCTGTCTTGTTGATGTGACTTTTTTAGTACCCATTCTTGCATCTTGTATCTTGTATCTGAGTTTCAACTTTCAACAACTCTGCTATACAGGTAATATTTCTCCAAGTCAAATATAAAGAGAATTGTGAATTGTTACCCGTCCAGGATAAGGCCAGCGTGTGAAGCAGCACGACAGCAGAGCCCTTCATCCTGTCCTCAGCTCCTCTCTCTCTCACTACATCTACCTGCTGAACACAATATTTACAACAGTCTTCATACAGCTTAAATATCATAAAAGTATGTCTAAAACTGCAAATATCCATCACTGTCATCAGCTCCATAGAGGACGTTGTTCCATTTCATAAAATATGCAGAAGCAACCTCTTAGGAGAAGAGTTTTTGTATTTAGCCTTGTTCAATAATCAATTAGACCCCCTGGAAGCCATATGGGGACAAACAACAGTTGAACATTGTTTTAGAAGCTACCATGACAAAATGTAACACGTATGACGCATTAAACAGATAGAGCTTTATGGTACAGTGTTGTTTTCTTATCAAAATATAGCTGGAATTGAGTTTTGTTTCATTCATCCATTATTTAAACATTAACCCTGCATACTTGAGTTGTAGTCTTCTCTTAAATGGAAAACACTCTGTTCCACCTTGTGATGTCATGTGGTAATACTGAAAGTGCTCTAATCTCCATAGACCTTCACTGCAATCATGTGGTATGTTTTTGATGAGGTAACAGCATTATTACATGACTAAAAGCTTACATGAGTCAATTTTGCATAATATAGGACTTTTAAACAGACAGGGCTGAAGTTGTTCACTTTCCCTATCTTATAATTGCTTAAAAGTGGTGACTAGTATTATAAGGAGGAGGAGTAGCCAACAATAATCTTTATTGTAACAACTATGCTATATTTATAAATGCCAATAGACTACTGCAATTTAAATTCTCTAAGATTTTAATCTCTAAGGAACCCTACTTATATAGCAGTCTTTATTGCATTGCCCCATTGGTAGACCTATCACAGTGACATTGACAACTTTGGTTCAGCTGAGAAGCCCAGACTTTATAGCAGAGCACCCAATTTTCAATATCACAGTTTATTTAGTTTGCAAAATCTCACCCCAGTGCCACCAGGCCTGCAACTTGTACCAACCGGCGGGCATCATTGGGCACAGGCAGTGAGTAATGTCCTAATGTCTGACAGTGGCGCTAGCTCCCAATCTCAGTCACGTGATCTGCCAGCTCCATGGACGAAGCCAATAAACTATACACGAATCCGCTCAGATTTAAGGATGCAATATGTTTAACGCGATACAAGGTAACAAGGCTGTCGATAAGGTCTGGAGATACGTGTTTTGCACTGACAATCACTGCAACGATAGTAAACATATGGATGCGTTTCGAGACATGGCATCCCCGTTTGCCGCATGCAGAACATCCAAATAGCAAGCCGCGGTTTGTGTCTCTATTACCTTAATTTTTTGAACGTGAAGTGTCGATCAAGTCGCTTTGAAGCCTGATGGAGCTCCATGTTTGCGGCAGCGGTGTGCAAAAGGGCAAAACGCGACAGGAGTAGCGGTAGAAAGCGGCGTCAATAACAGCTAGTGATGAGAGGCAGCACCCCTGACTCAGGAGCTTTCGCATCTACGTACACACGCAAAAGACGCACGGGCACGAGGCGCTTCTGTTGCCTTTCTGTTGTGCCTCTTTCATATTTCACATACAAACATTTCTCCTTATCCAGCCAATAAAAGTAGTCTTTTATGGTACGGAGCGCTGCAGATGATAGAAAGGAAAATAATAATAGTTATAAAATAATAATATATATAATAATAATATATAGAATTAAAATATGAAGGTAATAAGGTAATAATTACGGAGCCATGACACCATGACCATCTCACCTCAATAGATTGCCCCAGTTCTGTTGGGATCATAGACTATATGCATAGATTGACTGTATATGGTCTATGCCTGGGATAGCAACTGTAATAACACATGACATTGAGTAACACCGTCTGTAAATCTAATGTGTGTAATATAAGAAACAAATCAGAGTTTAATTGGCCTTAATCTATTCATCATCGTGAACAAGTATTATGACACATTTCTAGGGGATTTATAGTAAGTAAGTCTTTATTTATATAGTGCTTTTCACAAAAAATTTTTGTCCCCAAAGATGCTTTACAGAGCATTATTCAGCATTATTCATTCATTCATTCATTCACTCTATACCTGGTGATGGTAAGCTACTATTGTAGCCACAGCTGCCCTGGGGCAGACTGACAAGCGCAGCTGCCATGCCAATTGGCGCCATCCCTCCGACCACCACCATCACTCACGCACACACCACTTTCATACTAGGCAATGTGGATGAAGTGTCTTGCCTAAGGACACACAATGATTGAATTGATTGTATTTAACTGACCTTGACTATCAACTGTTCTGGAGACCTGTAGCATGTTTTGGGTTGATGGGGGAAACCGGAGCGCCCGGAGAAAACCCATCCAGACACGGGGAGAAAGATGCAAACTCCACACAGAAAGGCCCATTCTAGAATGTCGCAATGTCATTTTTGAACGTAAAGAAACTGGTTCACTGGTCTGGTCATCACGGAAATAGAATGTTGAGCACTGTAAAGCAGTTGTTGGCTTTAACTCTTTGAGTTTCAGTGAAAACAAAGGGTGTAGAGTGTGTAAGGCTAGACAGATTTGAGTTTGAGTCTTCAGTACAGCAGTTCAAGTCTGTGCATTAACCTGCCTATCAGGGTCCATGGACGGGTGGATCCCTGTAGGCGTATAAGAGCAGCCTTGAGCTCATCATATGAGTGAATTCAAGTCTGTGACAAATGCAATGGTTTTTGCTGCATTCAACTACCTATCAGGGTCCATGGCCGGCAGGTGGATCCCTGTCAGCATATAAGCCCAGCCTTGAGCTCGTCATATGAATGAGTTCAAATCTGGGCCGAATGCAGTGGTTTTTGCTGCATTCACCTGTCTATCAGGGTCCGTGAAAGGCGGGTGGATCCCTGTAGGCCTATAAGCCCAGCCTTGAGTTCATCATAGGAATGAGTTCAAGTCTGGGCCGAATGCAGTGGTTTTTGCTACTTTCACCTGCCTATCAGGGTCCATGGACGGCGGGTAGACCGCTTCCAGCCGTATAAGAGCAGCCTTGAGCTCATCATATGAGTGAGTTCAAGTCTGTGACGAATGCAATGGTTTTTGCTGCATTCACTTACCTATCAGGGTCCATCTTATGCATTCCACTTATCGTAATCTTTTCGCACACATGCACATGAAACATCCAAACTCTGCTCAGCTCTGAGAATGCACGGGCCTGGGTCTGACCTCTGTGAGTGTGCACATTTATTCATATTTTTCTCCTGTGTGTGTAAATTTTTTCCACAAGTGAAAATTTCAATCCGCAAGTGCACTAATTTTTTTAAAGCACTCTTGTGTGTTTTTTCACTGTAACTGCAAATTCAACAATTACAACTTCAAAGTTTTGTTCTACACATTCTCACATTATATTCTACAAGTTCTCAAATCAAGTTTACACACTCTCCCATTTTCCAACATATTTATCTTCATAGAGCACCCCGGCTCACTTCTCCTCTACACACGGAATCTCCACGGCTCTTTATACTATATTTCTGTATAATAAGCTTTATAATCATAAAATAGTTATTGAGGATTTTCTCATAAATTCAACAAAATACTGAAAAATTTAATCATTTAAGTTTAATCTGGTTTGAGAAATGAATTTAATATTTTGGAGTTTTAAAAAGTTTCTTGTGATTTTACAGAATAAAATATAGGGATTTCTTTGGGGTAATACTGGGTCCATGAGAACAGGAGAAGACTAGATTTTAATATAATTCCTAATATATAAATTTTATGATTCAGTTTCCAGTCTTGGCTTCACTATTTTTTTCACCATTTGGCCTCACCAAAAAATCTCATAAGACAATTTTTCTCATGTGTGCATAATCATGTGGGAATTTTGTCTCACAATATTTTGTCCCATCCCTAATAAATTCTAAAACTGGCAAAATTGAGGACCAGGATCAAAACCAAGGATTTATCTAGAAATATGCCAGAACTAAGCCAGAACTAAACACAAAATAAATTGGACTTTACCTGAACTCAAACAGAACTTAATAAAAGACCCAACTTGGACTTTACCTGAACTCAAACAGAACTTAATCAGTACTCAGGATCTAAACTTGGACTATATCTGAACTCAAATAGAACATAATCTGGACTCAGGATCTAAACCAACACTTGTCAAGAACTAAACCAGGACTAAACCAGAACTAAAAGACCCAACTTGGACTTTACCTGAACTCAAACAGAACTTAATCAGGACTCAGGATCTAAAAAACAGAACATAATCTGGACTCAGGATCTAATCCAAGACTTGTCAAGAACTAAACCCGGACTAAACCAGAACTAACCCAGAACTAAACACATAATAAAGGACCCAACTTGTGCTATACCTGAACTCAAACAGAACTTAATCATAGTTCAGGATCTAAACCAAGTCTTGTCAAGAACTAAACCATGACAAACCCAAAACTAAACACATAATAAAGGGCTCAACTTGGACTTTACCTGAACTCAAACAGAACTTAATCAGGACTCAAAATTTAAACCAAGACTTTTCTAGAAGTACACACGGACTAAACCAGAACTAAACCAGAACTAAACACATAATAACACATAATAAAGGACCCAACTTGGACTTTACCTGAACTCAAGCAGAACTTAATCAGGGTTCAGGATCTAAACCAAGCCTTATCTAGAACTATGCCAGAACTAAACCGGAACTAAACACATAATAAAAGACCCAACTTGGACTATATCTGAACTCAAATAGAACATAATCTGGACTTGTCAAGAACAGTGAAAAAAATAATAAATTCAGGAGTTAATACGAACATTTTAAGACCAAAATGTCAAGGCTTCCTATTTTGCACATGGCGCGACAGCATAATCATATTGTGTCTAAATGTGTATGTTGACATTCAACATCCAAATTTTATGTTAGCTACTTTTAAACTCTTTGAGTTATCTGACCAACTGCATGTGATGTTTATAGTTTGTTTTACCCATATTGCTGATGTATTTCAACAGGATAAAAAAAAACAAAAAACCAAAAAAAAACATGTTTTTGGAGGAACATGGAGTATTACATGCGAATATTACAATGAAATTGCAAGATATCAACCAAACCGGGTCATTTTTGACCCACTTATTCATCTAAGGGGTAATGTAGGAACCACTTAAAGCTTTGTAACTAGCACCATTTGATTCTTTGACCCTGAAAATTTTAGGGTCAGGGGTTTAGCAGTTAAAATCAACATTTCAACTTATTCAGAGGCTGAGATATTTCAAAAAGAGATTTTTGGCGGTCATTTAAAAAAAAAAATTCAATTTGGCCACCATACAGACATCTGAGCAAATGCAAACATTGATTTTCTGACTCCATATACTATAACCTTTCCAGAAATATATAGTTTAGCAAATCCCCCAAAAATTCCCACTAAGGTTAAAAAATGAATATAAGGAACTGGACTAAAAGCTCAAAATGCTCAGTTCCACTTTGAGATCAAGTGAACAGCTCCTTTTACCTTTAGTTCAGTAGAGTCAGCGGTGGAATCAAATCGTTGTTTTGCAAGTCTCAAGTAAGTCTCAAGTCTTTGACCTCAAGTTCGAGTCAAGTCCCAAGTCAAATACAGGCAAGTCCAAGTCGAGTCTCAAGTAACTGACCCATAAACCAAGTCAAGTCCAAGTCGTGGTATATTTATATGGGTATTTATATAACAGTTGTAGAAATGTGATTTTTCCTTTTTAAATGTCTTGACAAGATCTGAGTATGAATAATTACGGTCAAAATAGAAAGAATTCATATTTAAAAGTGCTTAATATCAGTTATTTGACATGTGTCTGCACTGAAATGGAAGGATTGTGTTCTTTGTAGTTCCTTGTTTTATTGGTAAAATCTATACTTTTAACATATATGGAGAAAGGGTCGAAAGCAACTTCAAGCTTTCCGTGTTTTACCACGATAGTGTAGTTAATTTCAGGTTAAGTGTTGGATAGATGTTCTCCCTAACCTCTTTCAAAGGAGGAAGGGGAAAACCTTGATAGATGCATATACTTTTGCAAGTGGGTGGGAGTGTCCTCCTAAATTCAGTTGCTCGGCTGTTAAAGCGTTTTGGATTGTCCGGGTTAGTAACTGGAGAAATGGAGGACACAGCCTCCCCGTTAAGCTTCCACTTCTTGCCTGAATGTGCAGAAAGCCAACACTTTACTGCCTCTGAGCCTCAACTGTTTGCTTACTCAGATACATTATCTAAGACAGCATAAGTCTCCATGCTCTTGAGGAACACCTTACTGATCTTCAAAAGTACTTTGCAGTTGTACACAGGCCGGTCGACAAACAGGTAGTGTTGATGAGACAGCTCCCTCAAGATAATTTTTTTCCTTTCTGTCATCTGCAGGGCTCCGTAATCCTTTTTTATTTGGCGGAATATATTTACGTGTAGTTGTGTTGCGGCTCTTTACTCCATAGCCATAGCCAAATAGGTATTTTGTGTTTCTGAAATCTATCAAATTTATGACATATAACTGTCCAAATATAAAGTTGACCAAAATGCTAATGAAAATGTGTCCCATGTATTAAATTAGCAATAGGTCATCTCCACGTTGTGCACATTTATATTCTTAATACTAATTTGGCAAACCTGTATGTGGATTTTCAAGTGGCACAAAACCTATAATCTCTATAGGGGCTAGAGCTTTTACTTATACTGTGATTCCATGCAGCAAAGAGGAGAGTCTAGGGAGTTAGTGTGTAGGATGGAGGGAAGATTGAACGTGGAAATAGGAACAGAGGAGGCAGACAAACGATCCAATGAGAAGGAGCGCTGTGACACAGTGATCTACTGCGGACCATGAGCGCGCGGGGATAAATGGTTGTTTACGCATCAATATGAACACACTTTGTAAGCCCTGCGTGCGCTCTGCTCAATTAGTCGAGACTAAAAACCCTCTCTGCAGTGCAGGTTCAGAGCTAAGCAGCCAGCATGCAGAGAAGTGCACTGGGCTATCCGGTGCAGTGCAGATAAATCAAATTGTGGAGTTTATTCTTTGGAGTCTGGCTATGTAAACTAGACTGCTAAATGTCAAATGTTCTAAAAAAGACTGAAGGGGAAGAAAATGGTGAAATGTACTTTTATGTCTTTTTAATTAGAAATAAACATAACTTTTTTTGATAAATTCTAAATTAGTGGAAGCAACTGCTGGAAACGGATTTAAAAAAGGTTTTACATCATTGCCGCATCAGATTAGGTATGAACAAAAAAAATATGCATGCATACACAATATATAGGCAAAATACCTGTTGTATGTTTTAGGCAGATTCAAAAATGAAACCAAAATTGTATAAGGGTTACAGTTCAGCACAAAGACTCATCCAGTCAGCATCCTTTTTAAATTATTTCTTTATTTATATATATTTATTTATTCATCTCAGTTTGGTTGATATTCTTTTTAATCATTGTTGCACTTTAGTATTTGTACTCAAATGAACATAAACAGAAAAGGGACAAAATGAACTCAATAAAAAATGAAATAAAAACATTAAATTAAAATTAGGAAACAGGCGTGGAGCGGAGAGTTGCCTTGTTGCGAACAGAAAGGGGTTTAGCAGGAAAGGGCCATTCAGGTTCAAATACAACTCTTTTCCCAGCATTCAACTGTGCTTCCCATATACAAGTGTCTGTTTGCGGCAAGTGTGAAAGTCTATACCAAACTAATAAATCCTAATAATATTTTAAACTACAATACAGCCACAATGAGTCACAAAGGACTCTTTTGCTTGTCCCAAATACAAAATTGAGAGTAGGCAAAGTTTTAAATTCCACCCACACAAGAATCACAACCTAATTTTGAACTTAGCTGTATACAAGCATATGCAATATTCCTATTTAAAATTTCAGGAAATTTCATAAACCTAGCCTAACACTGAGAATTAGGTAAAACTTTCAGAGTATTAGGCTTTACACACACAAGCATGAAAAGATGAAAACCTGATATCGCCAAAACATACAGTACTATAGTCTATTATACTATATTCTCTTTAGTTTTATTGTCTTGCATTAGCATCGAATCAAATATTGTGATATTAAAACCTACTTTGCCCAATTTTGTATGAAAAAAAATATATACACTCAAGTAACAGTATTCCACTAAAAGAATATACTGCAAACAACCATGACTAAGTACATTATTTACTTAGTATTAGCCAATATAGTTTGTAGTATTTCCACATAACATGAAAGTTAGCACAAAGCGTGACAATATAAATAAGGGATAACTTTTGCTACTGTCAGTACTTTACTCTTATCACGGTCTGAAATGACCCATGAAAATATCACTGAAAATACATATTATATTTCCGTAATAGCCATGAAAAACTAAATTATAATATAAGTGTTATTATAATTACAGCTCAGCCACTCAAATGAAGGAAAGTAAATTGTGCATCAGATATAGACAGGTACATGGGAAGCACAGATGTCATTGAGACCTCCTACAGCTCTATATAACATATAACATATTACAGTATATTGTTTACAGTAAAAATCTATAGCCTTAAATCTCTTTCTGGCCCAATCCTGGGGTGATGCTTAATGAGAAGAAGCAAAATTAAATTAATATAAAACATCAAGGGCTCCTGTAGCTTTTCACAATGAAGCTGAGGTCCAAAGCCACAAACACGGCCATGTATTGTATTGGTTTTGCTTTTTAAGTCCATTCATTTCCTTTCCTACCTCCTTATGTTAAAAGGAGGCAAGTGCAGTTCTATAGATCCTTTCAACCATCCACTGGGTAGAAATCTCACTTTTCAATGCATCTTTCCCAGGCTTTTTGAGGGGAGCAAAAGGTAAAATATGCAAAATGAAGCAGAAAATGTAATAATAATAGTAGTGTCCTCCTTGGTTGTAACAATGCTAGCCTGGAAGGAGGAGGGGTCCTGTCTGGTCCATAAGGCGTCATTCAAAGCAAGAGAAGATGGTACAGGCTTGAAGCAGGGACAGCATGAACAGAAATGGTTTGTCTGTGTCCACATCGTGACATTAAAGATGATATGTCAGCTATTTTACAAGTTATTTCCTTGCTTTTAATGGACATTTTTTTCATCTTTTTTGTTGAAGAAGTCTTTTTGTAATAGCACCCATCCATCCCACAGCCCCCAAAATGTCTGACCCTGTATAGCCTGCCACAAACCTTTTCAAAACAGAAACAGGCCCCAAAAACATTGACGAGAATGACGTTTTACAACATCAACAACTTTTGAAATGATACTTTTAAAAGCAACACAAAATAATTACTCTCCTCTTATTCAAGTGTCTCAATAGAATAATATTAAAACAATAAGAACAATCTTTTACAACACAGAAAGAGCCTCTTCTCTCTGTCCTCTTTTGGCTAGAAATCTCAAGGTTCATTAAACAAAAAAGTAACATGGTAAAGATGTTCCAAAAATTACAAATGACCAAAAAAATAATATAAAAAAGCCTCTCAGACGACTTTAAAAACAAACAAAAAAAATAAAAAGTTAGATTACATACAGAAATGGCAATAGCGCTCTATACATCGCATAACTGTACAAGGAAAGTAGGAGGAGCAAATGTTTGGTAAAACTACCCACAATGCAATACACTTTCACTTTGACATGGAAAGGAGAAAGCAGTATGGAAATGCATGTAAGCAGGGTTATGGCATTGAAGAGGGGGCGTCAACAGTGGGCACTGTAACAGACAATAGGGTAGTTTGAAAGAAAGTGCAGAATTAGTTAAGTAATAGAGAACAATTTCTTCCTTGCAACACAGTACTGTTTTTCTGTTAATAATAATATAATTAATATAATAAAAGTTCTTTACAGAAAACAGTAAGAGTAACAATATTGACCATACACTAATGCCTACACGAACATTGGCTGCAAAAATGAATTTCAAAATAAAACAAACAAACTAAAGTAACACGTATGAAGAGAGCTGGTATGTCCTGTGCGATGTTGATTAACCATCTTTGGAAATACAGATCCCGAAAATGAAACGCACCACTTCCTGCTTTTAGTCCAATAATTCGAGGTTAGAATCCGCCCGGGAATGATCGCCACAGGAACGCAAAAGGGGAGCGGACTGAACCTCGTAGTTTTCTGGACAAAAGCCAGGTCTGAACTCAATACTTTGGGTTTGTGGCAACATCGTGTATTGGTGTGAGAATGACTGTCCATGCTGATATAGACAGGCACACTGAAAAGAAGAGGCGTAGACAGGGGCAGAGTAGGGTCCGATTCAGAATACAACGAGATGGGGCAAGTGTGGCGACCCCCTGAAAATGTAAATCTATGGACAGCCAGTGGCAATGAGTGCTGGATGTCTGTGCAGAAGATGCTGGCACTTTGACCTTTGACCTTTGAACTGAAGAAGGTCCCACCCGTATGTTATGTACACCCCCCTCCCATCCCCAAATCACCCACCCCCCTCACGCAGACCCCCCAAAACAAATGGGACAGACACACGGAGCGCTCGGGCCGACGACGGTGGTGAGGCGTGATGCTGCTCAACTCAGGATGGCTGATATGGACCGCTGTACACAGGATACACATCCACCTGCAAAGCAAGAAGATGGAATTTTATTATTTTTATCTATGACAAAATGTTGACAGGTAATGAATATTTTAGTAGTCGACTTGTCACAAGATTATTTCTATTAAAAGGTCCTATATTACGTGAAATTGACTGTTTAAAAAAAATATATATTTAAAGGGACAATCCGGAATTTTTGACATAGGACCTCATTTCCTACTGAGCCAGAGTGTTGGAGATGTGTGGAGACACTTTGTTAAATATTCCATCCAGTCCTTGTATTTGCAGATGTCACTGGTGCTAGGCCAGTGCATGTCAATGGCCATAGTTAGCCTGCCACTAAAAACAGTCTTACCCACTCCACAAAACACCCGAAGCAAATCTATTAGAACACCAGACTGTCGATGTGAATGTTTGTGTCGAAAGAATAATTTCAGAAGTAAAACCAACCTTGCATTTGAAGGATTCACGTCTGAGTCGCAGCAGCGAGTTGTACTTCCTGATAGAAAGCTTGGCAGCGGAGGACTGATATCAACTAGCACCTCTCTTACTGGCAAAGTAAAATTCCACTGCTGAGAAAATAGTCCCTCAACATGCGACGATTCATGCGATGCAAGGTTAGTTTTATTTCAAACATTATTCTATCAACACAGACATTTACATCGACAGTCTGGCGTAATAATAGATTTGCTTTGGGTGCTTTGTGGAGTGGGTAAGACTGTTTTTAGTGGCAAAGTGCCTATGGATGTTTTCACGTGCTACCTTAGCACCAGTGACTTCTGAAAATACAAGGACTGGATGGAATCTCCAAAGCTCAAAATGCTCTGTTCCACCATGTGATGTTATGAAGCAGTAGTTAACAACTACCTTTTACCTTTAGTCTGGTAGAGATTGGCAATTCCATGGCTGAAATTATCCAAATGATTCTGGTGGAAGTGTATGGAGTTTAAAACACAGTGGAGTACTATGTTATGTATTACCACATGACATCACAAGGTAGAACAGTGTGTTTTCCATTTTAGAGAGGAACAAATCACCACTCCAGGTATGAAACAACATTATAACAGATCAGAAAACAACGCAATATGAGTTCTTTAAACAAATAAGGGCAAAATTGATGAAATTATTTTGATAGAATATCACTGCAAAATGTGCCCAAGATGAAATACAATAGAAAGGCATACTACTGCTGTGTCTTGTTTGATTCTTGTTCTACAATTTTATTTCATAGTAAACAACATATACTGTAAGTAAATGATACCTCATCCCATTAAGCCAGCACAATTTACATAAGCAGAAGTGTCTCCAAGCGTTTTTGTTGCATGTATTGCCAAGTTTGTACAATTTTCATGTCATCAAGTGTTCAAACTAATTTAAATTCAGTAACAGAGCCAAAAATGTATAGCTGAAAATTTTATGAGAGTCTGTGATTTATAAAGTATGGAAACATGAAAACTGTGGAGACGAGGGAATTACCTAGATTTAGAAGCCAATTATAAGATCATAAATTTCACTTCAAACTGAACAGGTAGACGCTGCAGTTGAACTGTGTTTTTCATACATTTCTGCTCAAACTATGGAGCCTCTGGTGATCCTCCTTCAAAAAGCAAAATCTATTCATGTTGAATAATGCTGAAACCCAATACATATTTTTTAATATTTAGTTGGTTCTCTTTTAATAGAAAGTTGCTTTATAAAAGTTTGTTATTCAAGAGGAAAAAAGGTCTATGAGAGCTGTTACAGTCCTTGCTATTATGCATTATTATTAAAATACAATCCTATTTGTTGTCTTAAAGAAATTAGTCTCTGATTGTTTAAAAGCATTCAACCATGATATTCTCAAATATATGCAGTGAATTTGTGCCTTTGTTCACAGTTGTAAACAGTTGTGGATGAGTTACTTGCTAGTGTAGCTGTACCTGTGCTAGACCCCGGCCTGCTCCATGCTGTACTGCAGGTCTGGGGGCTTGTAGCTGAGGAGCATGTCACTGGTGCAGGATGAGGGATAACAGGCGGCCGCCGCATGTAGCTCTCCTTCAACATCACACACTGAAAAAACAAACACATTTTAACAAGCGGTCTATTATATTATCTTATATGTAACTGAAGGTGCAGTTAATACTGTGATGAATCAGTGTTGGCCTATATGTGCTTAAGTCCTATTGCCTTCTCATGATGAGGTAACTGCTTTTTTGACACGATCACACCTTGTTTCAACTGGTCCACATTACACAATTTTTTGAGTTATGTTATAATGTTTCCTCATCAAAAGCATAAATGGAATTGTGTTTTGTTTCATTCACATATTGTTTGAGCATACAGCTGAATTTTTTCACAAAATGGCACATCGAAACAGGAATAAGCTCACAATTTTATTTTTGTCACTATATCGCCCAAACGCTAACTTCTATAAAAAATGTCTTATTTGCTCTAATTAGTTTGATTTTTTTGAACTTTAAGTGTACTGACCGGACTCCTCTCGCTGGTGCAGCTGCTGGCTTCCTGTGAGCGACGTCTGGCTGAGGATGTCAGACATGCGCGCTGAGCTGAGGGCTTTTCCGGCCAAAAGACTCATCCCCGACATGGGATCTGCCTGGTCCTGTGCACAAACCAACAGCCATTTTATCCTAATTGAGCCGCTTCCAGCACCATGAGTCACTACTCTGTTTGGATGACTAACTTTGGTCCAACACGTCAAGGCTTGTATAAACATCTAAATGAATATCACGACAAGGGTTGTTCAGTCATGCAACTATTTAGTAGTTTCCCCCAGCTACATTATCCTAGCTGGAGGTTCCGCATTTTGTAAGGATGGGATGAGGTGATTTCCACGAGATGAGACAACACCAGATTGGGTCCAGGAGAATGAGAAAATCCGAGAAGATTTTGACAATGTATAGATAAATTGCACCTCACAAGGTGCACTGTGTAATATTTCTGGTGAAAGATCCACCATCAGCTTGTCTCCATGGTGATGTTATTGCTTTGCCTAGTGTGTTCCACAGTATGGCATTAAACAAATATATGTTGCATTTATTCAATTACAGGAGTTTTTCTCAAAGCATTATTTCTGTTAACAAGTAGATTTCTCTACAGATATGATTTATAAACTTGGCCTTGTGATGTGGCTTGCTCGTCTCCACGAAGATAGTTAAATGTCATACTGTAGAACATTTCAGGAAAAACAACATGGAGTTAAACAGGTGGTGCACCCTCTCACAGAAAGAACACAGTGCTAGGGCTGCTCAATTATGGAAATATTGAAATGATAATTTTTTTGTTACACAATATATTTATTCATCATTTCCCTCTCAAAAAAGACCAAACAAAAAACACTTTGTTATTGATAATTTAAGCAAAACTTTAAAATTGAAAATAAATATAGGTTATAAATAAAATATAAATAAATAAATAATAAATATGTACCTTAGTTTTGTGATGTATAAAACATAAAATTAATAAAATATACTTTAAACATGAAATAAGACAGAAAAACATAAATATATCCAAAATAAACTATATATCCAGCTGTTCTACAATCTCTATATTTAAAAAAATTATATACTCATTTTTATAAAAAATATCCCAAAATAAACTTTGTTAAACTTTAGGGTGCACTCACACTAGGACTTTAGAACAGTGTCGCGCTCAAGCACGATTGCATAGGATTCTATGGCCACACACACCTACACAACCAAACCGGGCCATGGCCGATGATGTCATCACACGGAGCTGTTTGTTTACATGTGGCGCAGCAGAGCTAACACTTTAGTGGAGAAAATAAGACCAGCGGCAGAAATATAAAATGAGTCCTGTTGCAAGACACGCTCCTCCATGAGTTTATGGATATACTAACAGCGCAGAGGAATAAGAACAGCTTTAAACTGATTTTGCTCTAATTGTATCTTAAATGTGAGCATAATTTTAAGGCAATTTTATCTCACAAACTCTTGAGGCACAATATTGCCCTGCCCCATCCCTGGTATTTTATACAGCCAATACAAAAAATTATCACACTAGGGCAGGCCAACTGGGAAAAATATCTGATTGCATCTTTCTAGGAAGTAATGCAATAGCAAATCGATTTGTTTTATAGAGGAACATACATACTTGCAATGGTAGTTGTCTTCTGTCACATTGGCACTGCATTGCTATAGTTACCAACTACAGCATAAACAACACATTTACAGTGATATTAGACTTACGTAAGCATCGTCTGCCGTCTGGATGGTGTGGTGGCGCTGAAGCTGTCCACGGGACCTATATGCGTCACCCTGCTGCGATCTGGAGTAGCCCACACCGTTATGATCAGGGACCTCCATGGCCTGCCCCCCGGCTCGACAGTCCACATGCTCAGATTCTGAAAAGATAGATTGATGATCAGAAATTATTCATCAGTAGCAATAATGCTTTCTTTGTCCCTCTATGTCCCTAATGTCTTTTATGCTTTTCCACCTACTTAAAAGAAAACTTGATATTTTGTATAATGTAAAACTATGCTTAAAATATGGCATACTTGTTAGAATTACAGGCAAGTTGTTTTAGCTACAGGAATAGATCAATGACAAATGAATAAAGGGCCCATATTTCACCATTTTGTGCTCTATGTTATAATGTTTTTTCCTAATCAAAAACATATCTGGAGCTGTGTTTTGTTTCATTCACACAAACCCTGCATATTTAGGCTGAGATCCACCTTGTGATGTCAAGTGGTAATACAGGTGCAATACTATGTTTTTAAACTTCATACACCTTCTTTCGAATCACTTGGATAATTTCCACCCTGGAATTCTCTACTGAACAAAGGTAGAAGGTAGCTGTTAACTTGAAAACTACCTCACAACTACAAGGTGCAACAGGTAATTTTGGGCTTTGGAAATGTAGACGGACCAATAGGGTTACTCAAACATGCGTGAATGAAACAAAACAACTTCAGGTATGTTTTTGAGCAAGTAACAACAATATAAAATGGCTTAAAGCCTTAAAGATTTAATTTCACCATTACTCACCTCTATTTGCTGGGGCGTTTCTAATGTATCCGTGCCTGTGTGTAGGGGAGTTGTATGGGGGCGTTCCTCCTCTGGGCGGGCCTAGTAGTTCATGCCCCTCTCCCGCTTTGGCCAGCAGTCCCTCGTGAGGGTGGTGGAAGGGTGTGGGCACCTCGTCTTCTTCCATGCTCTCCGAATGGGGCAGGGCAGGCTGGGAGGGGAGGGTCTGTGGCTGGACATCTGGGGATCTTATTTGTAGCAGGTGATGATAGTGTTGGTTTGTTTGAGCGGGCTGCTGAGAGGGTGGCTCTAGGCTCTCCCCTTGGCTGAGCTGGCGAAGTAGCAGCATTTCCCCGTAGTCCTGTGGGGTACTGCTGGGAGGGGTAGGGGGTGCTGTACCTTGTCGTGGGGTCTGCCTTTTCAACAGTGCAGCCAGGTCTTGTGGGTTCAGCCTGGGATCTGCATGTCCTGTTAAAGAGTGGCGTGGGGAGAGGAGGCCCTGGAGGGTGGGGGTGACGTGTTGCTGAGGGGGACGGTAGTCTATGGGGGTAGGGGAGAGCAAAGCCTGTTGTAGTGCAGACGGGGCGCCATAATTGCCCCCGACTGCCCCACTCTGGTACCCCTCCAGCCCAGGAACTTTGAGAGAGGTGCCCTGTAGGTACGGACTGTAGGAGCCAACCACCCCAGAGGCTCCCCGAGAGGCAGCGTCGCCAGAGAAGAGGTGAGGGTTGAACTGGGCCTGGTCATAGGCTGAAGTGAAGCGGCCCAGACTGCGACTAGATACACAAAAAATACTATTACCTACATGTTTATGATACATGGAGCTAGTGCTATACTTTACTGAGTTTCTACACATAGTTTAAAATTGCCACAATGCCACCAATTAAATGAGAAAGAATTCTGAGACTACTTTTTACGCTTCTGAGGTACAACCATATTGGTCTTAATCAATGGTAACTGCAGGATAATATGAATTACTTAATGCAAGCTTAACCACTGGTTTCAGAGTAACAAGAAATTTAACATTGTTGCCATAGTAATTACCAATTCAAAATATTTTGAATGGTCAAAAGTCCTCACCCCCACAAACAGACACATACTGAATGTTAAGATCAACATTAAAACTGCATTTTTTCAAGTCACTATTAAGAAAAAAAATCTAATATTCTTTCTTATATAGTAAAATAAAAATTAAATAATTCTTACATTGTGTTGGAGTAGGAACCCAGTAAAGTGCCATGACACAAGACACAGATCTAGTGAGTTCACTGAGAGGTCCCTTTAGCCCATGTGAGTGAGGATGAGTTATGGTTAGCCTCTCAGTGAAGAAAACAAAGGATGTGACCAAGTTAGTACTTAGGTGCTATTCTCCAACTGTGGGGAAGCGAGAACTGCTACTTTTCCATATCCAAGTTACAACCACTCACCCAACTACAATGAGCTGACGAATGGATGAGGATGGCATCTCAACAAAAAAGCATGTTAATTTGGCATTGATAAACAAAGAGATGAAAAGATCCTGAGGTTTTAAAAATACAAAATGGCTTCCCTGATTTAGCAGTAATGGGTGTATTCAAGTATACCAGTTGACAAAAATGAGATATGTTAACAAATGATGAAATAAACAAAAGCATGCAGGTAAAATATATGATCAAATGAAAACAAATATTAAAAAACAGTAAAACAGTCCATTGTTGCTTTCTGGATGGTTTGAAGCGTTGAAGGGGGCATCACCTGTGCGTCTCTGCATTGTCTGCACTGAGCTGTTTCCCCAGGACCCTGTGACATGGTGTTGCCAGAAAACCGCCCGGTCGCTGAGCCCCACCCCCCAGCTCCACCTCCTGCACCTGGATCGTCACCTAAACACAACACCAATACAATACAAGGTAAACAAAAGGTAGCTTCATTCGCTTCATTTATTTTATCTCTGTTTCATATTGTAATATAAATTGCAACTATAATATACATGCATACTTTTCTGGACAATATATTTAAAGACAAATTGCGACAAGTTAAGGTTTTTTGCACACAATTTTTGCATTCAAAAAAAATTCCTTGGATATTCTTCTTCCTTTCAAGGCAGATTAGTTTAATACCATACTGTGGATAATATAAACCAAGGCATTAACATCTCCATAGAGACAAAGAGGTTGCAGGCCACATTTACACTTCTACACACAGAGAAGCACCACCTACAGGTCTGCAGCTCATGGTGAGTATGTTTTGCACATGTGCTGCTGTTGTGTGATTTGCCCAGTGCCAACGCTCCCATTGCGCACATGAGTAGGGCATCGGTGTTCCGAGGGTGTAATCTTAACTGTGTCGTTTTGCCATAACGGAGCCTATTTGCATAGCAGCTCTTATTTGTGTAATTAAACAGCATACAGTAGCCCTACAGACCAGGGGCACAGTTGGGAGCAATTTTGACTTGTGTTACACAATCCACAAAGATTCCAAGATTATCAAGATTCCTCACCTTGTAAAATATTTTACACTGGTCATTTTATTTAGAGCATTCAACAATTTACTACCAAGTCATTTACAAAGCTTGTTCAAAATGAGAGAGAGAACTCATAATTTTAGAGGATATGGAAATTTCAAATTGCTTGGATAATTCGAATGTCCGAAGTATCCGTAAAGGTTTCTGTGTGTCTGTATGTGGTGTAAAACTTTGGAACAGCCTGGATACACATCTCAAGCAACGCCAAAAAATTAATAAATTCAAGTTGTTATATAACCATATGGTCTGGTCACAGTATATAGAGAGTGGGTCTTCATATCAGAAAAATACTGCCTTCTGTAGTTATGTATTCCAAACGATGTATATTTCTTACTTGTCCGAAATAAATACATAAATCAATCAACCAAACTGATTGTCACTCTTTCTATATTAGAATTTAAGAAAATTATTTAATGGGGAGTGTTGCAAACTTGACCTATATTTAGTATTTTCTTCCATAAGATTTTCAATATAAAGAGAGGGAGTCCTCTTACACAAAAGTCACATTGTGTGTGATATAAGAGGTCATATGCTCTAAGCACCTCTTTGCGCTGCGCCTTGTCTATTGCTGCTCATAAGATTTGGATCTAAATGTTAAAGACCTGCATTTGCAAACTACAAAGATTGGTGTTACGTGTGCTATTTATGTATATACTGTAAAAACATTATATAATTACTATATCCAAGTTCTATACTGAACACATGTTTATAGATGCACTAACCTGCTGTTGTTGAGGTACCCCCTGTGCCAGTGGGACTGCGGGGCGGGCGGATGCTGCTTGCTGATTGGGCGAGAGAGACACTCGTGGTAAACCTGTGGGCGGCGGGCTTCCACTCTGGCCCTGATAAAGTGCTGGGGCTCCGTACTGCACTTGTGAAGGACCTCCTGGATGTGAGAAGAACAAGTATGAGAAGAAATCATTATTTTGGTTAAATCATAACAATTTGGATAAGTGATAGATACTTTCAAGAGTATCCAATGTAAAGTCAAATTAACTGTAATATTTCTGGTGGAGGGGTCAGTTGTAGAAATTGTATTGAATTACATTCAGTTCGGAGTCACCTCTGCACAGATCTGATATGTTATTTGGCCTAGAGGCAAATGTTTAATGTCATACTGTGCAACTTTTTAGGCAACGCAGTTACATCTTCACAATGATAAGACAAGTAGGTGCTGTACCCGCCAAAAAGGTTACATAGTGCCTCTTTAAAAAATAGATTTTCAGCATTATGAAATATAAATTGTGTGAAGTTATTTTAAACTGATAAAATGTTAAACTCTTTGAGCAAAGCCCATTAAAATATTATTATCAATTATTACCGTGTCCTTGCATTAAGGCGGCAGAGCCAGGCGGGGGACTCTGGTTGGGCTGTCTGAATAGATGGTTGCTGGGGTGAGTTGGAGGAGGACTGGAGGGCTGGATGCGGAGCCTGAGGGAGGAGAGGAGAGTAGGAGCAGAGAAAGACACGATTGTTATGTAACAGTTGGAGTCGATAACACTGCACCAGGATAAGGTTTAATGTTGCCTATGACTAATGTGTGTGTGTGTGCGTGTGTGTGCGTGTGTGTGTGCGTGCGCCCGTGTGTCTGAGTGTGTTTGCATGAGTGTGCATATGTCTGTATGCGTGTGTGTGCGTGTACCTCTGCAGCTGGTGGGTTAGATGACTGGGCTGGCTCTCTCCGTGGCCTAAAGACAGACCCTAGAGAAAGAGAAATGCAAACACCACTTGAAACAATATGCAACGTTACTTTTAGCATATGGGGGACATTCTAACCATAACTTGAATAGTGCTCAATTGTATGCAAATTAGATGACCATGTGCAGGTATGGGCTATAATGTACATTTAAATTTTTTCCACAATACTACATGAGGCTCAAGCAATTTAACTATCTTACTTTGATCTCAAGTTATTTATTTATAAATATATTTTAAGGGCTCATATTACACTATTTCCTGAACTATGTAATAATGTTTCCTCATCACAAACATACCTGGAGTTGTGTTTTGTTTCATTTATATATATTTAACTCACAAGCTAAGTTCTTCTCTTAAACAGAAAAGGCTCTGTTCTACCCTGTGATGTCATGTGATAATACTCCACTGTGTTCTTAAACTCCATACACCCTTACTATAATGATGGATGAGCCCTGGAATCATTGATCAGCTCTGGAATTACCAATTTCTACAAAACTAAAAGGTAGCCGTTAACTTGAAAACCACCGTTTCATGACATCACAAGATGAAACGGAGCATTTTGAGCTTTGGAGATTTAGATAGACTAATAATAAAGGATTACTTAAACATGTGTAAATGAAACAAAACACAACTCCAGGTATATGTTTGAGGAGGACCCATTAGAACACATCTTCAAGCCCACACAGTCACTTTTGCATCACATAAGACATTTAACCAACACAAAATGATCATTCATTTCATTTAGCAAATTAATGATTAGTGACAGGGACTTTAAGAACTTCAATTGCAAAAGTTCCATGTTGTAAAGGAACAGTGCTTTTTGAATGACAAAGGAATGACAAACAAATCATCTTTATTAATATGTTTATATCCCTCTCATGTGGGCTGTGTCAAGATTATGGTTAGTCACTCTTTCCAGATGAGCAAAGCAGCACCCTATTTGCAACACAGATTACTTTTTATTCCTTTGTATGACAAAAGATTTAAGAAGTACTTGCCACATCCAATAATCAAAAAGGACATTCCATTAGGTCAAATTGACACTTTGTTGTAAACCAATGCTGGAATTGAGAAACTAGTAAGGAAGACTTACTTTAATCTACAGCAGGCAATTGTGTTACAGTAAATGTCAACGTATTACTAATTCTTAAAGCTTGATCAACAACATCCTCCTCCCACAAACCGATCGTCATGACTACACCCATATCCTTTTCTTTGGCCTCCTCTCTGGCAGCTCAAATCCAGAAGTCTGTACATACCCAAACTATCGATTCCATTATTGACTTTATCATCTCTGAAACATCTAACATAAGATATCCTGATTCCCGTCATGAACAAGGAGGACCTCAACAATATCATACCTACCTACATCTTTTCTTTTTCACACCTTCTTTAAAGTTTGGGTATCCAATTTTCAATCATGAAAGGGATGTGTATTTAAATGTGTTTAAATCTATTTAACTTGTTTCCATCTCTCGGAAAGACATTGGCACAATACTAGTATTCACATGCATGTATTATTGCAAACATGCACAACTTCAGAACAGATTTTTCAGATGGTTAAGTGAAGTAACGGTGGACCAAAATAGAAAAGCCAAAATGTGTTTTGGTCAATCATCAGGCTCTGCAGGTTTGTGACTGATAAAGTATGCTACAAGATGCAGTTGTCACACTGTGGTCTGGCTGCAGTTTGTATTATATCATCTATGGGGGCAAAACATTTACTGTTACTTTAATGTTACCACAGCTTTAGTATCCCACCAAGCCGTTATACTTAATACAGGACTAATTTTTGCACAAGTTGCAGTGACTGATCTGTTCAGGTGGTCGCAGAAGGGGCAGAAGGGGCAGAAGGGGCAGAAGGGGCAGAAGGGGCAGAGTAAAGGGGGCCAATACCTGGATTTGCTGGTGGAGGATTTGCTGTTGCTCTTGCTGGTAGAGAATATGTTGCTGCTGGGTGTGCTCCAGGATCTTCTCATCCTGATGTGCAGCGTACATCTTCTGAAGCTGCTCACACTCCTACACCACAAATTATGCAACAAACATTTACTTTACAAAGGTTAATATATTAGAGAGATTTGAATAATATACACTGTGTTTTTATTCCCTGTTTCAGTGGGAATAGGTCATTTGGGAATCTTCTTTTAGGCAAATGAACTTTGCCATTTGCTATTATTCAACATTATTCACATAGCAACAATTCTAGAAAGCTGAGGAGGCTGTGATGAATGTAGCATTTAATTGGCCAATCACAGACTCAATGCAGCAAGTTTAGGGGAAGCTTGAAACATACAGATTTTTGCACTGCCAGAATCTACAGTATAAGGTCAAAATCAGGAAGTGTAATGGTAGACATGCAATTAAATAATTTTGTTTATTACCAGTTTTAACCGTTTAAACAAAATGTGCCCAAACTGTGTCATGAGCTTTGAAAATAGAAAGCTTTTTTCCATTACAGTCATAGTCCCTTAAGTAGGTCACACAAGTGTTTACAGCCCCTCTGATCAAAACCCCCTTAGATAATCCCAATGTTTTAGAGCCAAGATGCAGCCCCCACTGGGAATCCATTTCTATTTAAACTGGAATCCAGCTGCTATAAAAGTATGTAAAAGCAAATAACTTATTCAATTAAATCAGGCTACACTAATTCAAATGGACTTTGAATACAAACATTTTAGATTAAATATAAACTAGGTTCAAGGGATCAAGACAGATACAGTCCCATGATTTGTTTAAAGGGCCCACATTGTTATAATGTTGTTTCTCCGTCAAAAACATACACGTTAAATGCACAAATCCTGCATATTTAAGCAGAGTTCTTCAGCCGGAAAACACTCTGTTCAACCTTGTGATATCATGTGGTAATACAGGAAGCGCTCCACTGTGTGTTTAAACTAAAATCATTTGGATAATTTCAGCCCTGAACTGAACTTGGTATAGCTATTAACTTGAAAATTACCACTTCATGAGATGTTCATGAGTTTTGGAGGTGTAGACAGATTAATAAGGGGTTATTCAAAAGTGTGAATGAAACAAAACACAATTCCAGGTATGTTTTGAAGAGGTGACAGCTTTATAACACAACTTAAAACTCTCAAAAGTCAATTTTGTGTAAAAAAAAAAGGTTGATGTACCCTTGAGCACATGTAGAAGTGTGTTTATGGGATTGGTAAAAGTTGGAGAGGCAATTGGCACAACAGGGCAGGCTCAGATAAGCCAGTGTGTCCCAATGTATAAACATTAAAGCACAAAATACATGTATTGAAGCCCATCAGTCAGTGCTCAATGGTGGAAAAAGTGGGTGATTTAGGTTTTGATACTATAAATTGTCAAAAATCTTAAAAACTCTCCACATAAGAAAACATGTTTCAATGCTATTCCTGTCAATGATAATTTAAAATTATACTATCCTAAAACACTGCTCCTGAACAAACCTATCAAATTCCAGTTTTACTTTTTTGCATTGCAATGTCATAATGATCAGCCCCTCCTGTCAAATACACTTTCTCACACTTTCTCTTGTTTATGCCACACCTGCTTGAGTTGCTTGATGAGGCTGCTGTGTTCCAGTTGGGCTTTGAAGGCCTGGATGGTGGCAGCTCCATCTGAGAATCGCCGCACAGGAGAGAACCGTTCCATGGGCAGGTGAAGAGTGTCCTTATAATTCGACCTATACATGACACCAACACAAAGCCACACAGACCGACCCAAAAGGGATACAAAACAATAGCATTCACACACATTCATTCAAACAGACAAAAATGAGAGAAACAAGACAGACCCATGTGAGAGACTGCTTAAACCATTTCAATTAACACATTATTAGTGTCCTTGGGTAAAAAATATCTCAATTTAAAAAGAACGTGATAAAAAAATAATAAGAATAATTTTGGTAATCAACAAAAGCAAACCTGTGTCAAGTTTAGATCTGTATGTATTTACATAATAGAAGGGTTAAGATCTATCAACTTTAATATGACAATTGCTAATATCTCAGAAGCATTTTGAAAAACAAATGCTTTCACTGTACCTACTACTATTTTTGGGAAATTAACTGTGTAATAAATGAAAAACATAAACATAACAATTCCGAGTATACAAAATATATTTACTCTAGTTCCAAACACACAAGGGGATAAGAGCACTTACAAACCAAGGACAAAACAATCATTTACAAATAAAGTATTTTCTACATTTTTTTTGAGAACTCTCTTGAAGAGGAATAAAACAACAACGTGAGGTTGCTCAAACAGGAACTGTACTATATCTCAGGATAGATCAAAACAAGGTTATAAAAGAAGTCCAGGGTTTTTACCATTTCACTTTTTTAACCTTGTTTTGATCTGGACAGGTGGAAATATCCAGACATTTTTGGTGTTTGTTACATACCTTTTCTTTCCAGGTTTGTGTGGAAGAAACAGCTACAAATTATGATTTAAAATAACATTTGTATAATCATTTGATAGTGTTTTGTGCTCCTCTTCTTCGGACCCGTTTGTGTACAGAGTGCATGTGGAGCGTGCCAGTACATTACATGTGTGAGTGAGTGTCTGTGCATACACACAGGGACCATCCCTCACCGAATGTGTATGTCGGGGGCCCACAGTGCCCTCTGGCGGGGGCCCTGGGGCCGCTGCGCCTCTGCAGAGGGCTCGCCATGCGTTGTGCTCATGGGCGTGTGCGTCGTGTGCCGCTTGGTGCGGTTCGCCAGGTACCTGGGCCGCAGGGAGGGGAGGAGTGAGGGTGGGAGACAGGAAGCAGCGCCGGTCAGCTCTCTGTCCTCATTGGCTAATGGGGCGGGGGGATAGGCCCACCCTTCCCACCTCTGCCAATAGGTGCCATCATTCATATCATCTTAGCCAATCAGAAAACACACAGTACATTACACCATAGATGGATGGTAGAGCTTATGGGAAGCCCGAACCCCAGCTTCCAATTTCAGGATTGGAACTGTTGCTTTTTTTATTTGCAAGCTTGAGAGTTAGCGAAGCCGTGTAAGAAAGAGTGAGAAAGTCTGGAGAACAATTTGGCACGTTCTGAAACAATAAGAGACCAAGCGGCTCTGGGCCGAAGAGTTTTAGAGATAAGACGGCTGGATTTGGGCAGATTTAGTTTGTGGCAGAAGGCACTTGCACAATGGAGAAAGGAGAAGAGATGGTGTAAGCACCGCAGCAGAGGCACCACCCACAGGAAAAGCACAGCAGCCTGAAGGCACGCGCTCCCAGCAACCCAGGACACCAGCAGGAGCCGCTGTCTGAAGTGGACCGCTGAACAGACCCGGCCCTCATGATCAGAACTTTGACGTTTTTATTAAATGTCTGTTTAAAGTTTTATGACATTATATTTATTGTCTGGTCATTTACGCAGGCAGTGGGTCTTTCAGAGTGTCCACTTTAAACAGCATCTCTGTAGAAGTGAAGCCCATCACCAAACGCTGTTCCTCAAAGAGTTACCTCTGCACAGCCTCCTGGTCAGGCTCGCCGTCTGAGCCTTCCTCATCCACAGGAGCCACAGGGATTGGGTGCTACACAAACAACCAAGACAAATAAAAAAAAATTTTTTTTCTAATAAAGTACAATATTTAAAAGTTTAATTAAAAATATTATCCAATATAATTAATAAACACAATAAGCATAATTTAAACATAAAATGTTTAATTTTTTGTGTCAGTTTTAGGCAAATCCAGAAATATAACAAAAGTCAAGCTCTTTCTAACTATTAGTTTATGCATAAAATGACTCACATGCTGACAACTTGACTTAAGAGGTCTGAATCAACTTTCAAGCACCTTAAAGTAGCAATGGAACAACTGTATGAGTTTTTCTGTGATGAGACGAGCACTTACTCCCACAGGACTGGTGACCAAAGGAGAGGGGCCCCGGGGCCTCTTGAGGAGCTGTGCATGAAGCTGAATGTTTGCCCCACCGTCTGAGGCTCTGCGCCCGAGTGGTCCCATGCCATTGAGCAACTGCAGGGTGGGCGGCTGTAATAAGGACTGCTCCTATAAAACAAGATAAACCAGATTATTGACAAACGATTAAAATTACTTGAAATACTAGATGGTGGTATTTTTTTATAAATATCTATTTTCTCATACTGCATTGTTTAAATTATGTTTTTGTGTGAGTAGGAAGAATCTTGAGATAAAGCCACAAACCATATTAAAGAGCCCATATTATGCTATTTTCTGATCTATGTCACAATGTTGTTTCCTCATCAAAAACATACCTGAAGTTATGTTTTGTTTCATTTTTACATGTTTAACATACAAATTCTGCATATGTAGTCTTTGTTCTTCTTTCAAACTGAAAAAAACTCTATTCCACCTTGTGATGTCATAAAGTAATGCAGGAAATGCTCCACTGTGTTTTTGAGCCCCATACACCTTCACTAGAATCATTTGGATCATTTCAGCCTGAAATTGCTCTCTGAATTCTACTAAACTAAAGGTAAAAGGTAGCTGTTAACTTGAAAATTACCACTTCATAACATGAAGGTGGAGCAGAGCATTTTAAGCTAAGGAGATGCAGACAGACTAATAATAAAAAGTTATTATTAGTCTGTGAATGAAACAAAACAACTCCAGGTATGTTTTTGAGGAGGTAACAGCATTATGACATGGTTAAAACTCACAAGAGTCCATGCTGTGTAACAGTAGCAATAGGCCCTTTAAACTAAAATCCAAGACTAGGAGTTTATTATAGCTATTGTATTATTTCAAATACATTTAGAGCTTTTGCCAAATATCCCAGATCATTTCCACTTTCATTTTATGTCAAAAATGCATGCATACATACATATTTAGTAGAGTTTAGTGTGAGTATGTTTCTAAGAATTATCAGAACAATGAGTGCAATCAAAATCTAAACATTTATCTAGACATTTCTAGTTTGTTCCTTAGACATAGTACCTTGTATTCCAGCTGCTGTGTGGGCTGCAGGCTCTGAGTGGGCATGAGCGTATGCATTTGGCCCATAGTGGGAGCCAGAGTGGGGAAGGGTGGTTGTGGTACCACCCCTCGAGGGAAACCAGGGGGCAGCTTCTGGAGGTCCTCCTGCCCCTCCGTCCTGAACGCACAGAGGACAAGGGTTAGGGTTACAATAGTTTTGTCACAAAAAATATGTTAAATGACATGAAATGTAAAAAATTCTCATATGAAAAATATAGCATAGAATGCTGTAGATTTGTTAGCATTAAATATTTATTTTTTTTATTCCAGTAAAAACAAAAACCTAAGGGTCAATCTTAAGGGTTTTACCTTTGGTCTGGAACCCCCACTGTGTGCCTCCTCATCGACAGATATCGAGCCATTGCTTCTGGAGAAGGTTCCTCTCCTTCGTCACTGTCTAGAGCCATGCTACCATCAGGCTGAAAATAAAAAAAAACCAAAAAACATTAAATTGTATCACTTGTGAATTGTCCTATATCACATGCACTGAAGCATGCTGCCAAATGGAAAAGTACGCACTTAAACGCACTAGAAAATGACTAGTGACTAGTCTGCCCCTTTTGCATTAAAATATTCAGGCTCTAAAGGATTGTTGTTAGATTCCTGCTGCAATGCAGGGATCTCTCATTGTTGTGTCCAACAGTATTTGTGACTCAGCAGCGAGGCTGTGCATGTTGCATGTGTGTGCACTTTTGAGTGATTGTATGTGTGAGTAATCATCGCTGTTCTGAACTGCAGTGGCAGGCGAAAGATGCAGACAAAATATGG